TGCCAAATGCAACATGATGAGTTAGTCTTGTAAAATTTGTAGTCTTGTTATTGCCAATGTAATAACATATGGGTAGTAGAGAATCGATATATGATGAATAATTATAAGCATACCATGTGGCCAAAAAGATAAAGTAGCGAACTTATTCGAACCAAACATAGCGAAGAGGTCTTGTTTTTTTTGTTTCAATCCTCTCCTTTTGGCTTTTTGTATACTTTTTTCTTTTTGGTAAAATTCCTTTAGTAAATTTTCGTTCATCTTGAATACTTTTTTTATTTATTTATTTTCTCGATTCAGTTTTGTTGATAATAGTTTTTTCAAGAACGAACAAGGTTCTATATATATACGATCATAATAATAAAAGGCGAAACAAAACACATGTCATAGAGAATCTAATAATATATATATGAAGAAATTAATGAAAAGAATTAGTGAATAAAACGCGAGGTGATGAAGAAATGGAATCATATATACAACAAGAGGGGTGCTTGTTGCAAGATCGTTGGACCAACGCTGGATTGTGACACTCATGTTCGTATTCTCCACACTAGTTTTCTTCTTCTTCTTCTTTCTTTCTTTTTCTATCCTCTCAGTTGTAGTTTCTTACAAAATTACTATACATGAAATTATCTTAAAAACAATCCCGGTACTATCTATGGAATTTTTTATTTTCTTTCACAGTTTGTATAAAGAAGAAAAAAAAAAGGAATACTATAGTGGGGGATTTTAGCATCTCGTCGAAGATATGAATGAATAGAGAATTTTTCCCAAGTGTAAAGAAACAACCGACCAAACCCACTTGTTCTCTCACGTCCTTTTTTTTCATAAGTTGAAAATTTGATTTATCTTTAGAAATCAAGTTTTATTTCAAATTGTGTATTACACAACAAAATACTCTATATCTATTTAAAACTACAAATTTTGGCATTATATTCGTTACAGTATATTGAAGGAGAGGTGAATCTGCTCAAATTGTTTGATGTTGGTTTTATACTTTATATCAGTTTGCACCTATGATTTTGTACCATATTAAACCGATATGATATAACGTTAACCAGTAGTTAACTAGTTATTGTTTCAACTTTCAACTAATTAACTTCACTGTATCTTTTGATGTAACTACACTTGTTTTTTCATATGCATATAAAAGTTGTTGTCAAGAAAAACCCAAAAACATATGAATAAAAATTTCGTTTTGTGATTTTTATATCAATTTTAGACAAACACGAACCAATTCTATCGCTAATTTGGAAACTAATAAAATGATAAATACGAATTTCAGTCACACATAATAAACTCGTTTATAATTTTACTGGACTACTATGGGCTAAGACACAAGCCCACAAATTTGTGAAAAGAGAGTCTAAAAACCCAACGGGCATATTTATCTATTAGACCCGAAAGATAAATTCGGATCCAGAAAAAACCCGACCCGTTAAAAACCCAATTAACTCATACGGCCGAGATTTTTCCACCAAACTCGACGGTTACCACTCGTTCTTTGTCCATCATCTTCCCTCTCTCTCTCTCTCATCACCCAAAAATCTCCTTTTCCCAAAATTTTCCGATTATCCCACGCCGGATTGTTTTCAATCGCCGTCTTCATAATCTCCGGCGACTTAATTTTGTCTGGTAGCTCTTTGAAATTTCATGGAGTGGGACAGTGGCTCCGATCTAAGCGCCGATGATGCTTCGTCAGCTGCTGATGATGAAGAGGGAGGTCTCTTTCCCGGCGGAGGACCAATTCCATTTCCCGTTGGTAATTTGCTTCATACGGCGCCTTGTGGATTCGTTGTTACTGATGCTGTTGAGCCGGACCACCCTATTATTTATGTCAATACGGTCTTCGAAATGGTTACTGGGTATCGTGCTGAGGAAGTTCTCGGAGGAAATTGGTTAGTTGTTTTATGTTATCTTTGAGGCTTAGGGTTCGGATTGATGCGAGGAATCGTTTCTTTTGCTTATTGGCTCCCTTTTTCCCGTATTTGCTTTGCCGAAGTTTGGCTACTTGGTGGAGTTTGATAAAGTAAGGATCGTGTAGTTTAAGTATAGATGAGGAACGTGGATTTGATTACCAAGCAAATTGCGTTGGAGTTTAGTTTCAACATTTGTGAATTTAGAGATAACGGTAATCTGAAGTTGCTTCTGAGGATTGTGATGTTCATTGATCACTTGATTTCGTAGCTTTAGTACAGAGATTTTGATAGAGTGAAGAGAAGGGCTTTCTTGTTTGATTATCATTGGTGACTGTGCGGAATTTGTAGGGGATCGGGGGAGACAGTAGACCATCTGTGTGTATGCCTCAATTAATGTGCTTAGGCAATTTAGATGGTTACTCAGTGAATTTTTTTATATCAGTCGAGCTGTTTTAGCTGCTCTGCGTTTTAAGCAAATTGGCAGGTGTATATATATGGATCTACCGTCATAAATCAAGCTATCCCTGTGTAGTATTTGGGGGTCATAGCTAACACAACAAAATAGTTAGATTGTAGTTCTGTAGTGAACCAATGACTATTAGGTTCATTTAATAGGTTATCTCCAGTTTGTTTGGTTGTGTGTTAGTTTTCCATGTGAGAAGTGCCAGTAGCTTCCTCCTTTTCTTCATATCGATTAGGATTGAAGTTGACAGGCAGGAGCTGGTCAATTCAGATAGTTTTTACTGTTGAAAAGAATCAATCTGTGGTCATGTTTTAAGCTATGCTTGGTTGGTGATTTTTTTGGTTTTGTTTTCAGTGTCTATATGTACAGCCAATTTATTTTTCTATTGCTTTTTCGCATAACTAAGTCGGAGATAACTTTGTTTTTGGTCTTAAATTGGTTCTAAAATTTCCCTGAATTCTGCAGCCGCTTCTTGCAATGTAGAGGACCGTTTGCTAAAAGAAGGCATCCATTAGTTGACTCTATGGTGGTTTCCGAGATAAGAAAATGCATTGATGAGGGCATAGAATTCCAAGGCGAGTTGTTGAACTTTAGGAAAGATGGATCTCCATTGATGAATAGATTGCGGCTGACTCCTATATATGGAGACGATGATACTATCACTCATATAATTGGGATCCAGTTCTTTATCGAGACAGACATTGACCTGGGACCTGTTCTTGGATCTGCAACAAAAGAAAAATCAATCGATGCGATATACTCAGCTTTAGCTGCTGGGGAGCGTAATGTTTCCCGAGGGATGTGTGGGTTATTCCAGCTTAGTGATGAGGTTGTGTCTATGAAGATATTGTCACGCCTGACACCAAGAGACGTTGCATCTGTCAGTTCTGTATGTCGCAGGCTGTATGTGCTAACAAAGAATGAGGATCTTTGGCGAAGGGTTTGCCAGAATGCATGGGGAAGTGAGACTACACGCGTATTAGAGACTGTTCCTGGTGCAAAAAGACTCGGTTGGGGCCGCCTTGCTAGAGAACTGACCACACTTGAAGCTGCAGCTTGGAGAAAACTTACCGTTGGAGGTGCTGTTGAGCCGTCTCGCTGTAATTTCAGTGCTTGCGCAGTCGGGAACAGGGTTGTTCTTTTTGGAGGAGAAGGTGTGAATATGCAGCCTATGAATGACACCTTTGTTTTAGATCTGAATTCGGATTACCCTGAATGGCAACATGTCAAAGTGAGCTCCCCTCCTCCGGGACGCTGGGGCCACACACTATCTTGCGTAAACGGATCTAATCTGGTTGTATTTGGTGGATGTGGACAGCAAGGTTTGCTGAACGATGTGTTTGTCTTGAATCTCGATGCAAAACCTCCTACTTGGAGGGAGATTTCGGGTTTGGCTCCTCCTCTACCAAGATCATGGCACAGCTCATGCACCCTTGACGGAACCAAACTGATAGTCTCTGGAGGTTGTGCAGATTCTGGTGTTCTTCTCAGTGACACTTTCCTCCTCGACCTCTCTATAGATAAACCAGTGTGGAGAGAGATTCCTGCTGCCTGGACTCCCCCTTCCCGGTTAGGGCACACACTATCGGTGTATGGAGGAAGAAAGATCTTGATGTTCGGTGGTCTTGCTAAAAGCGGGCCTTTGAGATTCCGTTCGAGCGATGTCTTCACAATGGATCTAAGCGAAGAGGAGCCTTGTTGGAGATGTGTGACCGGTAGCGGAATGCCCGGAGCAGGAAACCCAGGAGGAGTGGCACCACCACCGAGGCTGGATCACGTGGCGGTTAACCTTCCAGGAGGCAGAATCTTGATTTTTGGCGGTTCGGTGGCAGGGCTTCACTCAGCATCTCAGCTTTATCTACTTGACCCGACGGAGGACAAACCGACTTGGAGAATACTAAACATTCCAGGGAGACCGCCACGGTTTGCTTGGGGACATGGCACATGTGTAGTGGGAGGAACACGAGCCATAGTGCTGGGTGGTCAGACCGGAGAAGAGTGGATGCTAAGTGAGCTACACGAGTTATCACTAGCAAGCTATCTCACGTAACAAAAGAGATCCAACATTATGAAAAGAGGTGTATCCCATAGAAGAAGATGAAAAAGGGTTCTCTGTTAGGATATTGGATCTTTAGGGAGAGTGACTCAGTGGTGGGACTTTGGTGCTGCTCATATTTTTTTAGTCCTTCTTCTTCTTCTTCTTCTTCCTCTTTAGGACTTGTAGTGCTTATAATATAAATAGTGAAAATGTCATATCTCTATCTCTCTTTCTCTAGGGCTTGTATCTCTTGTTCTCTTTGAAGTTTGATGCTTTTGAGGAGTGCACTTGTGTTCATATTCTGTAAATTTTTATTTATGATTTTACAAATAAGATGCTCTATCTCTCTTCTTATGCTTGTTTATTGACGCACTTCCAAATTTTAGTGTTAATTATCATAGTACTAACTATGGAGGCCTAAACTTCTCTCTATTAGCTCTGAAATCACATACAATTATGATAATAAAGTTACTGAATGCATTAGTATTGCTAAGTTTGTATAAGGTCTGTGTAAATTATGTAATACTAATAGGAATTAAAAAAAAAACCAATTTTACAAAAGAAATAATTCGGGGAAATTATCAGAAGAAGAGAGTGGTCCGCTCCGTGGAAATTGTTTAAAATAAAACCCTGCACATCCACCGTTCTCAGCCGCATCACCACTATGTCAGAGCGCGACCGCCGCGAACGAGATAGGGATAGGGACCGTGAACGCGACCGTGATAGACGCCGAGATAGAGACGACCGTGACCGTGACCGTGACCGTGATCGAGACCGTGAAAGAGATAGAGAGCGCGACCGTGACCGAGGGCTTAGGAGCAAGAAGTCCCGATCTCGTACTCCAGACCACCACGCTCGTCCTCGCCACGTGCGTTCTCCGGAGAGGTATCGCTCTCGTTCCCGCTCAATTGACCGTGACCGTGACCGTCAGCGGCACCACAGACGCAGAACTCCCACCCCCGATGCGCCGTCGCGGAAACGAACTCGCCAGGGTTCAGTAGACGACGAGAAGGAAAGGAGTCGCAAACGAGCTGTGTCTGATTTCGTTGACGAGATTGCGAAAGAGCCTACTACTACTAGTACTAGTACTAAGAAGAAGGATAAGCAACCAAGCGATGCAGCTGATAATGGCGGAGGCGAAGCTGAGGAAGGAATGGATGCGAATGAGATTGAAATGATGAAGATGTTAGGCATCCCTACTGGATTTGATTCTACCAAAGGGAAACCAGTTGCTGGTGCTGATGTTAGTGGGATTAGAGCTGTAACTAAGCGTCAGCCTAGACAGTACATGAACCGTCGCGGTGGTTTTAACCGTCCTTTGCCTGCTGAGCGTAACCGCTAGTGTTCTCTCAAGGTTAGGCTTCTCTCTAAGCTTCCCAAGTTTATGCTTCTGTGATGATGGCAATCTCAGTGATTCAATTACATTGAACTGGAACATAGATTCTTGTGTAGTAGTTTGATTGAATTAGTTAGGACTTGGTTTTTAGAATTGTAGTTTGATTGAATTGGCTAGGACTTGGTTTTCAGAATTGTACTTTGATTGATTTAGCTAGGACTTGGTTTTTAGAATTGTTGGTTCATTGAAGATGAACTCATCAAAATCTATTCGGATAATAGAATTTAAGAACTCATCAGGTTCAGCATTTTATTACTCTTTTTCATTTATGGTTTCTCTACAACACTTTTTTCGCTGATGGTTATTTAGTTAGTCTAGATACTCAACTTGCAAGCTATATATAGATGTTTCACTTGGTTCTCTATGTCATCTTTTAAACTAGTAAAGTTAAATTTACGTAGTAGATGAAACCACTCTAAGTTTTATACTTCAATTTATTCAGGCCTTTGTGCATTTAACTCTCTGGTAACATCTTACAAGATTAAGTTGTGTGAGCCACTGCAAAAAATAATCAGCCACCTTGGCGCTGGTTTTACCATTTTCTCTCAAACAGCTGAATTTAGATATTACTTTTCATTGGATGACATCATGATTTACTCTGAATAGATGAATCAGTTTCAGTTTTTATGATTATTAACTAGAATCTTGTCATGTCTCTGCATCCTCTATTTTTTGTTTTCGCATTGATCACTTTCTCCTAACTTCCTCTCATTTGAACATATCTTGCAGGTCCTTTACACACTGTCTTAAACACTAGTCGAAAGAATGAGAGTTCGAGCTGCATTTTCCCAGGTAGTATAGACTGCAATTCTTCCCCAGACTGTTGTAATGTCCCTGGAGAACAAACATGTACTCTTTTGAATTTAGAAACAACTCATGAGTTATCGCATTTTTGGGATCTAGAATTGTTAATGTTTGTGTGTAATCTCCCAACTCTAATTTTCAGACTATGATTCAGTTAAAGTCATGCCTATTTTTCACTAGACATCAGAAACAAACTGGCACTTGCGTACTTAAGTAACTTCACTCCAAAAATATCGTTATTGTTACGAATATCAAACAAATTGATAAGAAGGCCGATGTCAAAAGCTTTAATGCCAGAGCTTGAGGCAGATTCCAGCAGGTACAACTCCAGGTTTCGATGATATCTTAAGTATGCTTTCTGAAAATGTATCCACAAGCTGTTCCCCCAAAGAAGAAAGATCCTCCATAAAGGTCTCAACAAAGATCTTCACAACTCTAACTTCTCGGTTAGTAGCCCTTAAGCTATACCATGTCAAGAACCTTTCCCTAAAACTCTTGTCTATATGTCCCTCTTGCTCTAAACATCTAATCGTCTTAACAATATGACCCAAGTCTTCATATCCTATTCCATTTGCGGCATTACTGATCTCAGGTTTCTTGTTCACAGATACTGTTCTTGATTTGCATCTTTTATTCACTCCTTGCTTTCCCTTAAAAGTATCTCTCTTGGAGGGCGTTGTAAGCAAGTCTCTTCCATCTATCTTGTTAGCTTTCCTTTTTGCGAGCCTCTGCTCGTCAAGCTCAGATTCTACTTCTCCTGCACTACAGTGTTCAACGTTGTCCTTGTCACCATTTTCTTTGCTGCAGCTTTTAGACACGCTATTAGAATCATCTTCGGGCAAAGATGGATTACTACAAAGGCCACTACTTGAGTTTGTTAAAGGGCTTTGCTGGTCCCCAGTTTCTTCTCCATCATCCTTCAACGTTGAGAACCTCAGCTCAGACTCATCTAACTCACCATCTTCGTTAAAGGACACGACTCTGAGACAGAACTCGGTTTCCGGTTCAAGTCCGTGGATGGTAGACCTTGTCTCAGGTAGATAAACAACAGAATTCACCTGAGATGAGGACTCTTCTTCCTTCAACTTTCGACAGAACATCTTGAAACCCGTTATCCGGTTTTGCAAAGAAGAAGACGGGCCCTCGGAGTCTAATCTCACAGTGACTGATTTTGCTTGAATCTCTTCTACTCTCGCGCTCATCTTGTCACCTAACAAAAACTTAAGTGAACATATATCTTCGGATTTAAAACAAAAGTAACGTGTGAGTAGAACATTAACCTTGTCCTGAAACAGATTCTGATGGTGAGACCATTTTGTCCAGACCGTCCATTGCCAGAGAACACAGCTTCTGAACTTGTGACCCCGAAGAAAGTCTATTGACTATACCTCGAGCCATCTTCATCGCCCAACCGGACAACGGACCCACATCACCCTCGAGCTTCTTCACTGCCTCGTCCATGAGTTCCAACAGATTGCAATACTTCCTTGTACCTCTCAACAGCTTCTGTCCTAGAGAAAGACGGTAACAAAGTACATCAACACGCCGCGTCTCTTTCGCCACCTTCACTTGTTTCCTCCAGCATCTGTAAGCACACATACACATACACACACACAGTTCATTACATTGTTCAAACAATCTCTTTTCATTGAATATCCACAGATTTCAATATCGAAATAAATCCCATACCCGAGCAAGTCATTATCTTTGCCGCAATATGAGCAATAAAACCTACCATCAAGATCATCACTCCCAATCCCATAACTATCTTGCCTCAAACCACATTCAAGATGACAAGACAATCCACAAGCATCACAAGTCAGCCATAGACTAGGATCCTTATTATCATCAAACTTTTGACAGATGCAGCAAGAACACCTTTTGCAAAACGTATCATCGCTTCCTAGAGCAGCCCTACAAGCTAAATTCTCACAGCAAATAATATAACCGATGGTCTTCTTCTGCTTCTTTCTAGAGTTTCTACGATCAGAACAAGAAGTCTCCCCCAGGGGACGAGACACAAGATTTAGTAGATTCTCAATAAGCTTTGGTTTGGCTAAACCAGTGTACTTCCTCTCTTTACCCATCTCAGCACATATGATCTTCATGATCTCATTTCTGCTCCACGAATGCAAAAGCTCCGAAGCTTCTTCAGGCTGGTTAGACAATGCGTGGATCAGTTCTCTCCGTTCACTTACATTCAAACCATTCGGTTTAGAAGACTCGATGCATTCACTTTCTGCACCAATAAACAAAAATGAACAATCCCTTTAAACCCTAAAAATCTCCTTGGAAGATAAAAGAAGCCAAAACGAATGGTAACAACCGAAATAAGATATCACAAACACTTCCAACATTTTTTTTTTTTTTTTGGGGTAAAACATATTTTTTCATGAAATCTCAAGAACCCGTAAACATAACTTCAAGAATGACGACGAATCCGAAGCGTGTGTTCATGAATACATAAGACAAAAACGGCGTCGTAATAAAGACCTAATACGCATGAAGGAAACAACAGTTCACGTCGAGAGAGAGAGAAAACAAAAAAGAAGAACGATGGGTTTGGGGTTACCTTGAAATGAAGAAGAATCCATGTGCTCAGGACCCAAATTACCATCGAAGCGCCAGATCTTTGAGAGCTGCAGATCCGATTTCACACCCAAAAAAGGTTCAATTATGTATCGAAAAGTTTAAAGCTTAGAAACAAAAACACATCACAACAATCTCGAGTTAAAAAGACAAAATATGTAACAGTTCTTACGATGATGATGAAGAACAACAACCAAGATCGAACAAAAATGAAATCAGATTTAGTTGAAGTTTTAATCTTTAAACAACCAAAAGAGAACCCATGAAATATACTACTTCTATCTCTCTCTCTCTCTCTCTCTCTCTCTCTCTTTGTGTACAAAGAACACATAGATTCGAGAAGGACTCGGTCTTAAGAACAAACCAAGTATTGAGAATTTTCATGAATTTTTTAAAATGTAATCAAGAATATAAATTAATATTATGTATAAAAAAGTGAAATAAAATAAGGATTGGTTCGTTTGTTTACCGAATGAGAAACCAACAACAGCAACTAAACCCAAAAACCAAATTAAAAAAAAAAAAGCTACTTACCGAAGCAGCTTGCATATTATTTTCGTTCTTTGTGTTCTTGGGTTTTTTTTTTTTTTTTTTTTTTTGGCTCTCTGGTTTTTCTTTCTAGATTTTTTTTGGGGATTCTGTAAGAAAGCTTGGATGGAGTTGTGTTCTGTCTACTTTTTTAGTTTAGTTTTTCTAGATGTTTCTAAGAGAGGAGGAGGAAACCCTCTGATGGATGAAATCTTCTGCTCTCACAAACCTTTATTTTTTATTTTTTATTTTGTGTTCTTTTGTACGTTCTTAAGAATTTTGGTTTTTGTATATTTTATTATTAAAAAAAAGTTGTAAATATCCCAATACTTCTTCACGTGCTTTCGCAAGATATTATATGTACACATATGCTTTGATTTGACCTGTAAACCAATGCTGGACTCTTTTTTTCATGTATAAAATCTCTTCTATGCTCCAAATTATTACATTTGTTACCATTTCATTTGCTCCCTCGTTACCAAAATGGTTTTCCTTTTTGTTTTTCTCTTGCGACCCAAATTGGCAAATTTTGATGAAAAGAGAGATTATAATTAAACAAATTTTAAAGAATTTTGTGTATGATAGCAAACTTTTTTAAGTGTGATCAAAAAAGTAAAACAAAAGTGTTTTAAGTTTGTTTACTAAGATTTTTTTAAAACTTTCACAAGTTTGTGTTTTGAATATATCATTAAGAATATTTGTGATGAACATTACTATTTCATTAAAAGTACAAACATCTAGTTATATTAAAATATCAAACCATCCAAACGTGAAAAGATAAAACTGTATTTAACGATAGATTATCACATGAAAATGACAATTCCCGTTAGGTAATAAAAAATACATTTCCGTTTACCAAAAAATATATATATATATACATTTCCACGGAAAAAGAGGAGGAGAAAATTTTGATTTACAAATTAACAGTTGCAAACAAAATATAACGATTGCTATATAGTTTTTCTTTAAAATACTTTAATACTAGTTCACAGTTTAGCTATGATACAAGTACTAAACTTATATATAGCCATTAACAATTTAGTTTGCCCATGAAGATGGTCGTCGGGTTCAAATACCCAAAAAGGTATTTTGCCACGAGTCGTTTTTTTTATATTAGCATCCCATGTAGAAGATTTCTTCCACAAATTCATGGGACGAGCTAGCTAGTGACTTTTTTTTTTTTGTCAAAAAAGAATAATAATCCATATTCGTTTATATATGTTATATAGAACTCATGTGTCGACAAAAAAAAAAAAAAAAATGTTATATAGAACTCATGAGCACGAATGATTATGACAAAGACATGGAAAAATACATTACCTGTTAATTAGTTTTGTGAAAAAATTCCATAATCATAAAACATATGCACCAACAGACATAACTCTATATATTAATCATTTAATCCCATGTTATTGTTTCAGATTACAGTAAGTTGTATTTGACTAAAGTGTGCTAAACGAGCCATCATTTTGATAGAAGATGTTTTCATAGTCTCCTATGTGTACAAGGCGAGAAGGGGTGGGGGTATATAGGGCTAACTCGGTCCAATCCAGTCTTAAATCCACATTTTTCAGTTTGGTCTGGTTCGATCGTTTTTTCTCCAACTAAAAATGATTAGAAAATTGGAGTTAGGGTTTAAATTTCATAATTTAAGGTTTAGATTTCATAGGCCATGGTTTAGAAAAAATAAATAAATGAAACCATCAAATTAATGAGGAAAAAGAGTAAACACGTTTATATGAAGTTCATAAACTGCGCTAGCATATGAAAGTAAGTAACTAGGTAAGTCCACTTGCACTAGCATTTACTTGTAAACAATTTTGGGAAGAGACTGAATATATAGACGAAAAGCAAATCTGATTACTAAACATGATGGATGCAATTACGATTTTCAAAAGTGTTTTATGAACTATTAGTTGTAGTATTTGATAGTGTATTGATGATAATTGGAAATTTCTCATAAAAATGCGTGGGACATTTAAAAACAATTTGATGATTGATTATTGAGGAAAGGGTGAATCAAGTTGATTATTTCAGATAAACTTCAGAAAATAATATACTCATATATGATATATGTATGTGTACACACACAAACTCAACGAAGAAGACAAAATATGTGACCATATTTCAACAACCACAACTCTTTGAATATAAACCACCAGATATAATGTTCTACCGCAGTTTAGTCATCACATAAGAAATAAATATAGATAAAGAACTTAAGGACCAGCTCAGTTTGGCATATAGAAATCTATACATATAGTTTAAAACAACAAGCGCACAATGCCAAAGTGAAAGAAAAACACAACCGTAACACACAAATTGTATCCTATGACAATGTATAGTACTTTAAAAAAAACACACACGCACAGACACACCTTGAGTATGAACAAATACATAACACAAAATAACATTTTATGTATAAATAAACCGATGTATTCTGATGATCCTCCGATGCTCAAATCAAGTTACGGTTAGTACTACAACTTAAGTAGAGAAGTAAACATATATGGATGAATTCAATACTTCTAATTTGAGTTCATTATTTTCAGATGTTATAGTTTTGATACTCCTTATGTTAAATCAAAAGTGGTATTTGTCGATTTTTTTTTATAATTCATATATCTTATTTCTTGCTCTACCATTTTTCATTTCTTCCTTCGAAAAAGAAATAAAATGCCAACAAAATGTTTGTGGAGGTGTAAACAAATTCACTACAATGCAAAAAAATGACAAGAGTATACCACAATGTAAAATCAGTAACACAAAGTAGCATCTGGTGCATGCACCAAGAGTTACACTCAAGTCAGTCTCCTTTATTCGAGTGCAAGTTATAAAAGGGATACTGTTGCCTTTATATTCATATCATAGGGAACATAACAAACGCCATTGGGAGACAAAGCATTATAAGATAATCGCAGATAATGAAAAGATATACAAAACAGAGAGAGATCTAGATACGTGATCTTTTTATCTCACCAAAAACCTGAGAAGGTCAAGAGTCAAGACAACCCAAATTAAAGGCAAAGGAGCCAAACTTTTGCTATTCAACGTCTTCTTTACACGATCACTTTATGCATAATGGATAGCAGAACATTCAGCAAAAGCAGTCCCATATGAAGCGGACCAAACAGAGTACTTAAACTACTTAAGAGAGACAGGTGAATCATCAAAATTGATACAAAACCAACCAAAAACAAAAAAAAACCATTCAACCACACTTCCCCTAATTACATTTCTACGTCATAATTTCGATTGGTAATTATCAAAATTTATCCATGTGTAATTCAATCAATCATCTTCTTATCTAATCTGATTTATTCAGTTGGATGATTCCGATGCATATATGTCAGTAACAGTTGCTAGTCGATCATCTATACCATATGTATTCTTGCTTCATGCGGCGGTTGCAAGTCAAGTAGTCCTAAAATTAAAAATAGCATATGCTTAGATGATTATAATATAAAACCAAGCCTCTATCTCTATGCAACCTTCTAGAAGCTTGATTCATAGAGGCTTGGTTTTGTATAATGTTAGATTTTTTTTTTTTGACATCTATAATGTTAGTTTAAGATATACATTAATAAACAAAAAAGTGGATATGACGAAATAAATACCATACAGACGAGATTTTAGGATATGACGAAATAAATACCATACAGACGAGATTTTAAGTTACGGAATGATGATGATTTTAGATTTTTCATGTTCCATCTTCAATCATTCATATTGTCCACACAACAGCAACAAAATTTAAATCTTTATATAAAGCAGTAAATAAAAAGTTCTGAAAAGGTGAAAAAGGAACCCATAAGGTCATTAAACAAAGAGTTAGTACTGTCAGATCCAGCTAAATTCGTGGTCAGTAGACAAACATTAAAAGTTGAAAGAAAAAAACTTATAGATATTTGTTTTTTAAACCTACTTAAATAATCTAAAGAAAAATATCTGAATCTCACACAGAGACTTATCTTTCCTACTACATTCTTTTTTTCGTCCATGCTAGTAAAAGATTATAGAGAGAACTCATTCCAACCCAAAGACTGGTGTCTGCAAAACAGAGAGATTTGACTTTGCATTTTGGTAAGAATTAGAAATGTTGTTACTAATCCAGTTTATGTTTCCACCGTACCCTTCGTTACCATTACCCATTGTCGTTGTCGAGGACAGCGGGATTGCTGAGACAGGGCTCGATGCAGCCGAATGATTGTTATACACTTCAGACCCAACATAACTACCACCAAAGTTGTTTTCTCCTTCTTGCATGATCGGCATTATAGCATAGCCTGGAGAGGGGTTATGAAGATCCGACCCAAAAGCTGCTATTGGTCGAATCTCGGCTTTGGGGTTTGCTTGGAATCCAAAAACGTTGGACCAATAGTGATCAGCCGGGTCTGGTTTGATCGGTATCCCGGTGTGGTAAAAGGTTCCATGGTCATGGACAGGTGTTGCCACGTCGAAGGTGAGCGATGGTGTGGTCAGAGATGGTGGTTCGGATGGAGATAGATCAACGGTTGTTTTGTCAGCTGTTGCTGGGGACGATTTAGGCATTAGTCCACCCACAGGGAGATTACAGCTAGCAATCGACTTGACATCGTAGCGACTGATGTCGAAGTTGGTGACCGCATTTAGCCCGCGGAATTTGATCGCTGCGATATCATAAGCTTCTGCAGCTTCTTCTTGAGTGCCTGAAATAATTAATAATATCCAATAATTACTTTTCTGTTAAACCATAATCATAAGAGATCGTTACAACATTGAAATGCAACTCACTAAATGTGCCAAGATAGAGGTCTTTGTTGCCAGCAACTCTTCCAATTCGTGCCTGCCATCGACCATGCTGATGATGTCTGCATTATTGCAATAAATTTCTCAAATCATTTTACTAGGAGCATACACATTTAAGAGAATTTCATAGAACCAATCAATTACGAGAATGCACATACCTAGTGACACCTCTGTACATAGACGCACCCCTAGAGAATCCACTGCTTTTCCTTTAATAGGGAAAAAATCGTTACTTTGGCTTAAACTATATAACTTAGAATTCTTTGCAACAACTGTAAAGAATAAAAAACGTATCTCAGATTAAATTATTACCGTCGTAGAGAAGCAACGAACTCTTGTCGAGTCATATGTTTCATCTCTTCAAGTTCAGACTCGTAATTTGATATCTAATAACAACATGTAATTATTTATCCAAACATTAAAATAAACAAATTTTGAAATATTTTTAAAGAGAAATACATAAAACAAAAAAGAGAGAAAATTACCGGGAAATTAGTGGTAGTAGTAGGACCCCAATACTTAAGAGCAGCAAGGTCGTAAGCTCTAGCTGCTTTCTCTTCTTTATCATAACCACCTGAACATTACAAAATCACATTACTTCAAAAAATTATACAAATATTAAAAACTAAGGAGAATGATAACGAACGTTTCAGAAGGGAATTAAATTCGTTAAGAGAGAAGAAAAGAGGTACAGTATATTAAAAAATATAATCACGAAATAAATTGTTATAAAGAGAGAATTTATTGGAACTCACCTAAATAAACTGCAGCACAATTAAAATCATCACAACAATATCAGATCGTCCACGGTTGGGTAATCATTTCACGTCACAGAGACAAAATAAAAAAACAAAGCGACGTTAGATTTTGTGTGTGACCTCATTAGTTTCCAAAAAAACAAAAGTAAAAAGTAAAAAAAGAGTTGAGCAATGCGCATTATAGCTCTAACACACGCGCATTTTAAGATGAAGTGTATATACCTTGTCTTCCTTTTCTGCTTTGGCCTTCTCTTCGGCAACTATTATCCCATAAATGAGCTTCGTATCTCCCAGTCCATCTATGTCTGTTTAATTGATTTAAAACAAAAAAGTATAATCACTAGTAATAAACATATGCATTTACACATATCAAGACTTAGACTTCAATATTAACGTAGCAAGAATGTTACACTACAACGTGTGGTTAATTTGAAGTAAACGTATAATTTTGTTACACCACGAACCTTGTGACTCCTCTATAAATCGAAGTACGCTGTCCGAAACTCTCTACGGTCTTTTTAGGAGTGGGTGAAGCCTCTGAGACAACTAGAGGGTTCTGTTGTTGTTGCTTATGCGCGCTAGAGACTTCCGTTGAGTGTCCACCGGAGTAGTTTCCGAGGAAGCTAGCAGCTATTGATTTGAGCTCGGCGTCGTAGATCTCAGCGGCGGAGGGAGGATGAAGAGACGGCTGTAGGTCGGAAGAAAAGATAACGCCGCCGAGGGATTGCACTTGTTGCATTGGTCTTGTCGCGGCTCCGCCCCCGAGGAAATTCTCGAGTTTAGGACCGCCGGGGTAGCTGGAAAGGACCGCCGTGGCATCGCCGGTTGAAACACCCGGGGAACCATCTTGCCGTTCGACTGAAAATTTGGTTTCATTTAAAAAGAGGGTATTGAGGTAATTAGTGTTTTTAACTTTTAAAGGAGACAAAATCTAGTGAAAGATTCTATAGGAACATTAATAGATATTTAATTCTTTTTTAACTAGATCTATTACATAGCATGATTCATTAGATTAGATTTGACTCACTATCAAGTACACTTAGAAAATAAAAAGATAGAAAAATAAATAGAAGAAGCATTGAATTGAAAAACATATAGGCTACTAAATCTAAATAAGCAAAAGTTTAACTAAACCAAAAAGGGTAAGGAACTGGTCTAAGGTGCAACAAAACAAACAAAATTTGTCTGTCCTAATTCAGACTATAAAAATTTCAAAAGACAAAAACACAAAAGCAAACTAATAAGTTGATCAGAAAGAAAGAGAACCTGGGGATGAGGAGAAAGCTTGAAAGAGAGAGAGGTGAGAAGGGTGAGGATGCTGATGATCTGATGTGGAGGAATTGAGATTAGGGTTTGAGGAAGAGTTGAAGTTGTTGTTGTTGGAGAGAGAGAAAGAGAGCCAGTTCTGGTGGGAAGAAGATGAAGAAGAAGGAGACAAAGAAGAATCATAGCTCGAAGAAGAGGAAGATTTGTTGTTATTGTTCTTCATCTTTGGAAATAGGGTTGTTTTCTTTTTTCTTTCTTTCTTTGGGGACTCGTGAAGTCTTCTGGATGAGAGAGAGAGAGAAAGAGAGGGAGATGTAACTCTGGTGATCTCACGGCTTTGGAAATAGTGGAAGGTCTCGTCTTTTAATTCCTTTGCTCTAGGGTTTGAGAGATTGAGAGAGAGAGAAAGAGAGAGGAGAACACGACACAGATATAGAGGTCAAGATGAGAGAGACGAGTGAGGAAATGTATGAGAGAGAGCAGAGGAGAGCACGAGGGCCGAGAGAGACTCTGTAGTCTATATTCGAAGCTAAAAATAAAATTTATATTTTTGATAATATTGGTTAGAAAATCACATGCAGAGACCACGTAATCATATAAAAGAAAAACAATTAGAATGTCGGATGTATATATTTTTAGCTAATCATAGATTTATGTTTACTAGTTTTAGTATTAACTTAAACTACTAAATATATGACACATTCTCACATGCATCTTTAATTTATTTTGAATCATCTTTACTCGTACAACTTCCACTTATTAATCTTAAGATTTTAGTCTTTTAACATGATAAAAAATATTAAATTAGTGATCTTAGTGTAGCACCAGCTGCTACCAACAAAAAAAGGTCATATATATACACTTGTTTTACCAAAATAATGTAATGATGAAACCAAATTATTTGTCAAGAAAAAAACAGTAAAAAGCAAAATGGAAATAGTTGAAGCAAAGAAGGAGAGGAGAAGACAGCAAAAGGGCAAGTGGAAGCTTTTGATGGGATGAACTGGGCGGCGACTGATCTCACGTCACTTTCATTTCTTTTTTTTTATTTATTATTTTTGCTTTTTTCTATTTTATGTTTTTATGTTTCGTGTTTTCTTCTTCTGTCGTGGCAGGTCGAACGGTCTACGTATTTACACACACACATACGGTGAATGTGTGAAATTTTGTTTTCTTCTTCTAAAGTTAAATACTATATTTTATGAACGTATGCAAGTTGAGAAGCTCACTTCCAAAACACAAAATCAAATCCTACTACTACTACTACTACCTTCTTTAAGATTAGCCGCAATCTTAACATATAAGATTACTACAAAGTATACTAAGCTAGCTGTTTATAATTTATTAACCAAGACATTGTCATACTAAGCCTCATTATAATTGTGTCGATAGGCTTAATTAGCCACAATCCTAGGTTATATTGTTTTTAAATCAGTTTACTCCCAAAAACAAAACAAAAAATAGTGAAAAGGAAAGTGGAATAATTGGAGATGGTCCAAAAAGGTGACGCGTGTCCCATCTGTTCTGTATCCAATTATTACATACTTTGGCCTTTCCTTTTTTTTTTTTGTTTCGCGTCATTCTTTGACCACTCCAATACCAAATTGATATTTTCATCTATCTACTTTTTAATATTTATTTTGGTTCCTATTCACTACGTTCCTACGATTCATGGAAAAACTTATTAAAATGCTTTTTATTTTAAAAGAAAAGAAATAAAAAGACAGAACTCCGCATGTATTGTGGACTTCTGCTCTCAGTTCATATCAAAAAGCTATTTGGCTTGGCGCCAATTTCCATTCTTTTGATTTACTGTATGCTTTTAAAATTTCTTTTTAATCTGTAATGATATTGATATCACAACTAAAACTCGTTAATGCTTATCTACCTTTTGTCGTGGCAAAACAAAAAGGCTGGTCGTGGTCGTGGTCGGTATATATATACCAATTATGTTTTCTCGCAATTGATGTGTTACGTACGGAACATATGTTGAACGACAGAAAAGCAAAATTTCCCATTCATTGACCGACGAGTTGAAACTGTAAGCCATTTGATGTTTAGCATTTAGAGTTTTGAGTCAAATGTAGGATACAGAACGTGAAATAGGCGAGTGTGACTAACAGAAAACAAAAAAAATGTGACAAAACTGTGGACTGTATAAATTCGGTGAGATCTGATAAATCTAAAGTTGTAAACTAATCTAATTACATGTTTGTGGGGGACCTAATTAAGAGAAGAAGATATGTATATATTAGATTAGATGATGAGGTTTTAATTATGCTGGTAATGGAGTAGCACATGGTTTGCATGTAAACCGCCCACACGTGTCAGCCACTATACACACGTGTCTTCTGCATGCTGCGTTATCCCATTGTCTATCTCTTCGCCCTGCACTATTATCGCGTTTTAACAATTATATACATATGTTTCCTCTCTTTTCAATTATTGTTTTCAACGACGCATCAAGCATTACTTTATACAAAATACAAACTCAAAAAGAAAGATCATGGATCAATATGAATACACTAGATGTGATCTGATCTGATGCGTTTACAGAACACTTTCAAAATGTAAAAATACTAATGCCAGCTTTTAAAAGCACGTATTTGGTCTCCAGGTCGCGTCATCAATTCGGTGTATCACGTGTTAAATCATTTCTATTTTTTTGCCTTACTATCTAATGTATTTATACAACAATGCAACATTATCTTTAATTTTGTTTATAACTAGTATATTCAAAAGCGGCCTTTTTCAATTGAAAACGGTGGAGGACTGGAGTTATATAATTAATGGGGATTGTGCGGTCAAAGAATGTGAAACCACAAGTTTATTATATGAAATGTCGAACCAAGAAGATACGAAAATTTTATACTACTAATATAGTTGGAAACAAGATTCCAAAAAGGAGGTGCACGGTGGATCGATCAAAAGTGAAGGCACCAAATCCGGAGTGGGTGTGTCTTACTTTTGGACTAAGCAACTCACCTTGCGATCTTAAAAACTTATATCTGTTCTAATTCAATTGCTATAGCAAAAGAAAACAAATGTTTATGATGGTTCAGCACTCACTAGTGTCAATTTATATATATATACTTTACTCAGTAGCTTAGAAAAGATGTTTCACAAATAATCAAAGAGATGGATATGCAAATATTAAAATGAGATGTTTGGTAGTAAAAATAAAACTGTATAAACTATTGTTTCATTATACCATAAATATATACAAAATGTCAAATGACGAGGATATGAATATTCCCCATTTTTAACTATATTGTTAAAATCTATTTTCTTGTGATTTTTGAGTATTTAGTATTTAAAATGTGTTTTAGAAAAATAACAATACCGTAAGAGTATTAAGAAGATTAAAAAAATAAAGACCTGAAATTTTGCTGCCAAAATTATATTGCTTTTTTTATTGGTTATTTAATACCCTTAATGTTTTATATTTCATTCTCAACCATGAAAATATAAATAAACTTGCATTTTGTAAAAAATATGATAAAAGAAAATAATTTGATTTTAATCTAAAGCAGAACCGAGCTAAAACACACATACAGTATTTGTGTACCAACCGATCGAGAATCAAATGCGGGCCTTTGTATCATACGAATTAATTACAATGTTACTACACCTACATATCATATGTAAGCGAAATAAATATAAATGCGTCATATGATTTTAGAAAAAGCTAAATCAAATAATTCCCCACGTTCGCTTTGTCATCCCTACTATTTTGTTATCATTGCAAATTGTGTGAATTATCGCATTGTCACACACCTCCCTTTTTCTTTTTTTTTTCCTTTTTAATACTAAAAGAAATAATTTAGTAATACACACAACACGTTCATTTTTGACTTTTTTGACTAGAAAATATATTACTTTTTAATAATGTATACATATACACTTTGCTGCTTATTGGACAATGCTATAGGCAGGCGTTTGTTAAAAAATGACAATATTTTAAATCTATAGTAAGTCAATAACTATAAATAAAGAGATAATTTCCTTCAAAAAACAATACATAAAGAGATATATTTATGGGCTTAACATATTAGATAACTGGCCCATCAATACAAATAATCTTGGTACTAAATGTGAAAATTTTAACGAAAACCTGTATGATGGTTTCTTGAATTCCGAGGTGGACAACCGCTAAACCATTGACGTGGGGAAGCCTTTATCAATCTTCGATCTTTCGAGGAAGAAGAAGACGAAGAAGAAGAAGAAGATGAGCTCGACCTGTAATCCTCATCAAACTTCTCGAATCTCTCCAGTTCATCACAAGAATTTGAACTACCACCACGACCATTAATGTAATCTGATGGATCATAAAGGGAATATATGTGTATATATATAAGAGGATGTTTACATATGTATGTGAGAAACATTTTTATAGAAAGAATTTTAAAGAACTGAAGAATCGTACTGATTATACTAGCAACTAATATAACTTAAATTATGATTTAACAATTGACGAAAATATTAATTTCTTTTTTTTTTACCAATTCTACACAGTACATATGCACTAATGCAAGATTAGTGACAAAAATTGGAAAATTTTGCAATTTCTCTATGTTATTATATTACAACAAGCGTAACATTTTTTAATCACGTCGTTAATCGGATTCCGCATTATACTTTTCACATTAGTTCATTTCATATATAGTTGCAATCAATCAAAACCTAAAATATAATTTTTAAAATAATAGATATATTTCAGGTTGCACTTAATCAGTATAAGTACAATATACATCTTGTGAAATCAAAAGTTATTAATAATAACTTATTATAACGTTTGATTACCTTTACTTAGCATGTTTTGGCTTGACCATCTAGAGAAATATCTCTTACGAAGATTCTTCCACCTCCAAAGCTTAAGATTCGCCGGAAAAAGAGAATGTTTATTAGAATCTCCGACGACTGAGATTGAGGGTTTTGGGAAACCAAGACTGAGAAACGCCGGAGGAGGAGTTATCGGACGAAGTATTTCTTCCGGAGGAGGATTGATCGGAGTTCCCGGCTGCATCTCCCACTTAAAAGGAACACCTTCGTCGAGGCTCCGATGATGATAGTAATAGAACACTCTAGAAGAACCTCCCACCGATGAGTTTCTTGAGATCTCAGCTGCAGATTCTCTCTTGCATAGATCATCCTCCATTAACAACAATGAAGCTTTTGGTGTTGGAGCTGTGTTATTGTGTTCATGAATCATGATGATGCGTTCGTTTATAGAGAAAAAAAGATACAATATGGATTACGTGAGATTTATGGAGATGATGATATATACAGTGCAAATATATGTGTCGTATGTGGGTATATTTATATATATGGAAAGAGAGATTCTTGCCCGATAAAATTGGCGTAAGAATGGATATAAATTGATTTAATGGTTAGGAGAGTTGACTATGTGAATCTTTAGACGCATGATGTCTTGTGTATTACATGTAACGAGAATTTGATTATCGTAATGTCTTGTTAAACACAATATAATAATGTCAGGGTTTGACATTTATATTATCATACAAACAAAACTCAATTGCTTATTTTCTTTGGTGATTCGGTTGCTGTGGCACGGGCCAATTTGTAACATCAACATTGATATTCAAAAACAGTTGTACTTTAATTTATGGTTTCAGTGATGGATAAGACCGGTTTATATTTTGATGCACAAATGGTTGATGTACCATTTACGTAGCGAATCCGAGATTTATTATTCTTACCTATGATTAAAGAAACTGTATATTCCACAAGAAGAAATAAACAATCATTATCCAAGAAAAACACTTCTATAATCTGCTATATAGAGATTATTTAGATATTATATTTGGAATTACCCAAAAGGTATTTTGTTCCGTGATTCGATTTGCTTAATAATTTTTTTTGGTTTGAAAACCGGGTTATCTTAATTCTTAAAATGATTTCTAAAACGAATAATCATTTGACCATGTAAAAAGGCTCTGTATTCAATTTATTTTATTGGGGATAAAACTGTTATCTACTCTTGAGTCTTGTCATTAAAAAAGATTCATAGTGGCCAGCCACTTAGTTTGTTTTGTTTCTTATTATTGTAACTGAATTATTTATAAATACAACTCAAAATTTAGTTGTTGCAATAATATACAAGGCGAATCCATAATTACTATATATACAATACGATTAAATAAACTCAATTATCCAACAGAGAAATAAATCATAATTATTCAAAACCTTTTTATTGTATAGTTTTTTTCCCCCACCAAGGAATTTTCCCTGTAAATTGTTTGTTTTATAAGGAAATATATAAATGTTTTTTCCTTTTTGGAGTTATGAAATATTTGATTACCTTTATATACGTATTAGATACTATTCAAATCTATGTTTACTTTAAGATGAAGCGCACGTTAATACAGTTTTAAGGACGGCTGAATTCATATGCGCATGTGAAGCAAATGACCTATCCCCCTTAAGAGACGCCAAACTTTGCGTACTCCTCAATTTCATATCGTTAAAAATTTGTTAACCCAATTCTATGAATCATCATCGCACTAATCACGCACGCAATTACCATAACTAAACCCACCTTTACGAAAACATACATATTAATTTTACTTACTAAAAAGGACAAGTTTCAGTCACGAAGTTGTGGCCACGCAACCGAGTATGTTCTGTTACAGCTGACTACGCTTACGAGAATATATTTGTGTCCCAATTTATTCAAAATATTTGGATCTTTGATTATAAAGAAAATTCAAGGCGTGGGAAGTGGCAACGGACAATGCAGTATTCGGGTTTTGACTCATATCTATAGAGTTACATAACTAAAATGTCCATAAATCTCTCTAAATGATACTGGACCGAACAAACAATCTAATCATAAAATAGTTTCGAAGTGATTTGATTGCATAGTTTGGTTGGAACTTGGAACAAAGAACATGGTGTTTGTTCTCTATGACATACTGTGTGATTGCTAATTTAGTAGATATGATACTGTAACAGAGAGTACACATCTTTGAATTTTGAACACTAAACAATCCATCATAAGCCTTGATCATATATATAATAAGATTTTAATATCCAAAGAAAGGAGAGTGGCTCCCTGATGCGACACAACTAAAAGCTGAATATACACATAGCTTAGATATCGAAGGAGAGGTTCGGTGATGGTGAATACCCAATACTACGACTACATTTTGCAACAAATCTTTCATCTTGGATCCATTGCTTTTAGGCTTTTTCATACTCCCTAAACAGAGACCAATCAAGAGTCATTATTAAGCATTTAAGCTCCTTTTTTTGTGAAACAATAAAGATAAAGAACATCTAAATCTTCTACGAAGAAATAAAGAAGAGTAGAATCTTTTAAGTATACCTCAGCTGCCAATGAAACTACGGAATCCCTGTTACAAGGTTGGCCACTATTAGTTGTTTTGCATGATAATTATCTTTGTTTAAAGCCAAAACTAATAGAATTTAATTTGATACCTTCGCTGCTCTGATTTAGGGAGATGTTTCGACATTATGGACTCCTGCAATAGAATTGCTCTTGTCAGTTTCTAAACAGATGTCAACGACATTTTCAATAAATGTAGATGTAGTGTCTGCTCCCATAACATCAATAATGTAGAGACTGAGGAAAATAGTCTCTAGTAAAGAAATATGAGGAAGAGAACCTGTTCTTGGATTATACTTCTTGCCTCAACAAGCTGAGCTTCGAGTTCAAGCTCTCTCTCTGTTGCTTCAGATGTAACAGATGCTCCTTTAGGTGCATCTTCTATCTGGACCATGCGTTCCTTTATTTTTTTTTGTCCCAAGGAAATTAGAAGAAACAGCAAAAAGGTTAACTACTGATCAAATATGGATTTTGTTGAGCAAATGCAAACTGTCGTTAAGAAAAACCTTTATAGAAGCCATCTTAGTGCGCAAGCTTTCTTCAATCTGACCTCTAGCCATCCGGAAAGGTAGATCAAAGACGTCCTATGTAATGGCTAGTTAGTTAGATACTGGGGCATCAATTATACAGGATTATTACAAGAACCATTCAATAAACTAAGATTACACATACCGTCTTCCCACCCAGTGGAGATTGTGAAGGATCAGCTTCACGTTTGTCACTGCCAGCCAATGAAGGATTAGCTGACCCGTTTGGAGCATTTAGGAAATCACGCATATCCATCTGCAACAAAACCAAAGATATAAACTATGCTTAAGAATAAACATGTTAAGCTTAGCATGAAAAGAGAGCAAACCTGCATGGATCGAAGTAATGCTCTTAGATTAGTGTTCTCAGCCATTAATTCTTGATTTTTTGCTTCATATGCATCCACCTGCAGGGACGACAATATTCAAGAAATGCCCTTTGGAACTTTACATAATGTTATCGATTTGTTGTAGTTAGACTCATACTATCTTTTTGTAGAAGTCAGTATCAGTCTTCTTGCCATTCCAGGTTCCACGCTGCCTCCCTTCTTTCTATTAAGTAGATAAGACAATCAGCCAAGTGAAAATTCCACATTCATCATTTTAACGATTGAAAAAAATAAGAAATTGGTAAAGGACCTGTAGCAGATTCATAATCTCCATTCCAGATCTTGATTCTTTCTTTTTCTCCATTAATACTTGATTCAGCCGTTCCTACGCGAGTAACAAGAATTATTAGCAATCACAATGCAGATTAAAAGGATACGGAACAGTCAGTTCCACGAGATAAAATACACAACCTGCAACTTAATGTAATCCTTTTCCTTTTTCTTCATTTCGTGAATCTGTTGAGCTTTGACTTGCTATTCAGGGATAAGAGTACAAATGCAGACAATCCCATCGGTACAATTTCAGCAACATGAAGAAGTAAATCAAAGCATCATAAACTATCAGACCTGGTTACCAATCACCATCCTTTGGAATTCATCCCTCTCCTGCTGTAGCTTTTCAATCTGAGACTTCAAAGCTGCAGTGTTTTTGGCTTCCTGTCAAAAGAGTGAAGTCATAGTCAAACACTCTTCAATCAAAAACCTAAGCCAAAATCATCTCAGCAGAAACATAGAAAGGACTCACTGTTCTGGTAATTGTAGCAATTTCCCTGTCCTTCTGTTGAAGTTGCGCTTCAAGCCTCTCAACTTTAGCTTCGAGTCTAGCTATATCCGATTGTTGTCTAAACACACATAAAACATAATGAATCCCTTCCGCAAATCAGAGTAGAGAAACTCAAAATATCAAACTAAGTTAAAGCATGATAGATCAATAAAACATATAGTAACATTTTTAGCCAATGAAACACTTAACAACTACAGCACAGCTCAAGACCAATAATCAATTCCCAAGAACAAATATTCATAAACTTGCATTTAAAACTGAAAGAAGGAAGAAGCTAAATTCACCTCTGTCTCTGCTCGTTAGCAGATTCTCTAAACTCTATATCACGCTGTCGCTGCTGAAGCAACGAGTACATACAATTGCAGGTCCTTGAGATAGAAACCTAAATCAACAAACCCTTAATTAAAACCCCAAACCTCCACACAATTTTAAGAATCACGACGAATCAATAATACTAAAATACACACCGGATCATTTGAAAACAGATCGAGTGAGGCGGGAAATCCAAATGTAACCATTGTCTGATTCAAATACTTCGTACAATGCTCCAAATTATCCACATTCGCAAATGTGTAATCCCTTCTCAATCAATTAAAACAAAAATTAACCTATCAGTACTAATCGGAGATTCTAAAAGTAAACCCTAGGTGGATTAAGAAGAAGAAGAAAACTAACCCCGTCGCAGACTGAGATAAAACCTGTAAAATCCAAAAACGAGCGAATGAATCAATTGAACTTCAAATTCGATGAGAAAACACACATCAGAAAACAGTAATCTTACCTTGAGATCGTACTCAGCATCAGTCGCCGGCATTTTCGAAACGGCGACGAATAACTCCTCCTCCTCCGGCGTAAAGCAACGAATTAAAAACGTATGCTCACAGAATCAGATCTAATCGAGCTGAGAGACAGAGAGAGCGAAAAACAAATTCAAAAACCAGAAATATCTGAAACGGAATGTTTCTGGAGAAAGAGCGAAAATAATTAAATTAAAAATGTCTCTTTATTTTTCTCACTTTGCTTTTCATTTCAGTAAAAGGATTTGTTTTTTGATAATGAGCTTTAAAGCTGTGATCCAATGCGGAGACACCTACTGGCTTCAGTGCTCCTCCACGTGATTTTGACGCGCCAACGGTTAAGCAATACACAAAACTCACTTTTGTGTAACATGGACATTGGACCAACACCGCTAAAATTGGGCCTAATAAGCCTAATAGGCTTTTGTGTGAAGCCTTTTTAAACTTGTGGTAATGTAGATGATGAACATGAGTCATGTTACATGACAAAGTGATTATCATTGTTTGGTTAGAAACAGACCAAAACAGCGGGTAAATATTTGGTTTTGTTATTTTTTAAAAATATTAATTATTATCGGGGAGTGAAATAAGCAAACATTAACGTATGTCTGTAGTAGAATCGAAAGAAAAGAAAAAAAAAACAAAAATCGAGACAAATTAATTAGATGATTTAAATATAAACTGAAATTAAATGTTAAAAAAAAAAAAAAAAACTGAAATGTGTTAAAACTATATATACTCTTTATAAACTGAAATGATATGAAACCGAGGTAAATTTTAAACATTTCAATGCCTTCCATGTCGGATCTTCTAGTCTTCTAAATTCGAATCCCGAGTTTAATGTATTTTTTTTTTACGATTATATAGAGAGATTAATAAACTATTGATGTGTTTGCAATTGATGTTTGCTTCAAACTTAAGAAAATATGCTTCTTGTGCTTCGTTTTATGTCTTCTTGGGTTTCGATTTTAGCTCATCCACCACTTGCTTGTTGGATCCACCGTTGGTTTTTGAATTCAACAGACAAAAATGTTCACTGATTAACTAAAGTTTTTTAGCATTAATATAAATAGTCTTTTCGGTTACTTGTTATTTCTTCATGTTGACGTAATTATTTGACCATATTATATGTATACTTGATCATTATTGTTGTACTTATTTGAGATTATTTAAAATGGTGTATACTGAGTAGTGTTTTATTTGAAGTCAGTTGTGTCCCTAGCTAGCATAGTTTTTAATTAGTTCCCATTTATTAATTAGTGTCGAACTAATTCTAGGTAGACCGAAAACCATCATCTATAACTTAAGAGTTTGGATTAAGATTGTAGTAGTGATTTTTGTTAAGTCATATATAAACCGAGTCTACTATATGCATATGAGATTAGATCATAAATAGTAATATATAGATGTATTAAGTTGATGCATATAAAATATTATGCTATGTACACATATATATTTTTTATAAACGAAAGTACCACTCCATCCATATCAGTAGTAGTACATTTCTTGATGTACCATCATTTGGATTCAAACTCATTAAGATATGGATGTGATATGACAAAATAAGAAGAAGATACATAATTCAGTAAAAGATTTGATTTATGAGTTAGAAACTTTAGATGATTAATATTTTGTTAACTGATTTTATTTTTGAGAACATATAAAACTCATATTGCACAAAAATGCATGGAGACTGTGGGCAAATATGTCATTGGTTTCTTCCGTATGAAAAGAAGATGACGTGGAGCTCCCGACCAGGCGCGAGTCAAGGAAGCGAGGCGTTCGGCGACGGCAGCGCGGTCGTCTCCGCAGCCCATGCGTTACAATTTACAAGATCTCTTTTTCTATTACCTTAAGTTTCATTATTTAATTACTCGATCAGTTTATAATGTCTTTCATTTCGAGTTTCTGGTTCCTAATTCTAAATACTTTATTATAGTGACTTGTTTGTAAAAAATTGTTACTTTAAAGTTCTCCAACTTATGTTTTCCCTTCGGCTTGCGTCTTGTCCACGTTAACCAACATTTTCATTTTTAAATATTTTATTCGTATTCATGAATTTATATATCTTGTGCTTGAAAGAAACAAATGGGGTTGAAAACATTAATGTTGACAAAAATCAGTGAAACTAACCTTTTGACATTTCCTGTAACAGCTCTTGCTACCACAGTGGAGACTGAGAGTGATAGATAGATTATAGCTAGCATTGTATATAATATCATTTAATTTAATACATATGCATGTGAGAACATCTCTACGTGAATCCAATTGTTCATTGAATGGATTAAATATTAAAATTATTGTTAATTAAAAGGATCCATTGTTTAACGAGATGTCCAAAGATCAGATGTACTTGGAAATTAAATGAAAATTTTGAAGACAACATTGAAACAAAAAAACAAATGTAAAATAAAAAAAGACAACTTTTGTTTGCCACACAATATTACGCCTTCTCTCTATCTATTTATAGGTGTACATAGATTCACTTTCACCAGAATCTCATCAAACATACAGATATATACAGTCTCTCTCTCTCTCTCTCTCTCTCTCTCTCTCTCTCTCTCTCTCTCTCTCTCTCTCTCTCTCTCTCTCTCTCTCTCTCTCTCTCTCTCTCTCTCTCTCTCTCTCTCTCTCTCTCTCTCTCTCTCTCTCTCTCTCTCTCTCTCTCTCTTATAAGTCTGTAAACACTTTGAGTTCCATATATATAACCGCTGTTTTCTCCAAAGTTACAAAACCCTAAAAAACCCTACACTCAATATGAACAGTTTTGAGCCACAAAGCCAAGACTCTTTGCAAAGAAGGTTTCATCAAGGGAACACCTCCACCACACAACAACCTCGTGACACCACGACACCTTTCATGCCCAAATCTATTTCGAAAGACCATAATAATAGCAACTCCAGTTCCAGAGCGGCCGGGAGATCATTCCAAGGTTTTGGTCTTAACGTTGAGGACGATCTAGTTTCATCAGTGGTTCCTCCGGTTACGGTTGTTCTAGAGGGACGTTCGATTTGCCAACGCGTAAGCCTAGACAAGCATGGGAGTTATCAGAGCTTGGCTTTGGCTCTGAGGCAGATGTTTGTCGATGGGGCTGATTCTGCAGACGATCTTGATCTGTCTAATGCGATTCCTGGCCATCTTATTGCTTATGAAGATATGGAGAATGATCTACTCCTCGCAGGCGATCTTACTTGGAAGTAATATACCTCTTTTACTCTCCTACATTAATCTCTTTTTTAATTAAATTTTGTTATTTCTACGTTTGAGCGTTTCACGTATATACTGATCTTTCACAAAAAAAAAACTTTAAAACAACTTAGTTAATGAGAAAATTGGTTTGTGAGGATACAGGGACTTTGTTCGTGTAGCGAAGAGAATTCGAATCTTACCGGTGAAAGGAAACACAAGCAAAGTGAAAAGAAACGAGTGAGGAGAAAAGACCGTTTTGGCAACGATGTCAGAAAATGTTTTGTAGCAGCCAATGTCGTGCCATATGATTCCCAGTGGCATTATTGTAAAAGTATCATCGGATGTGTTTGCTTTTTTGTTCACTTGTCTTCCCACTAAATGAGAAAAAAAAAACAAAAAATGAAGCATATATAGAATGACAAAGTGAAAGATGTAACTTAATTTATCTCCGATTACGCTCCTAAATTTGGTTAAAGACAAAATCGTACCGAGAAAACGATATGAAAACTGAATCATATAAATATTTTGTGTCTTAAGATTTCACAGGTTTAAAAATAGTTGTGTAATATGTTAAGAAGTGAATACGACGGTCTGATTCTTCAAAACGAATTACACATACAAGTATAGAGAGACAAAGATTATAAAAACATGAACAGTTGAAGAAAGGACGGGCGTATTAATTTTATACAGTAACAACACATGTTAGTGATGCTTAAAAAAGAGAGATTCCAATCCAAACCATAAAGAAGGAATCAATTCAGCTATGCCGACAAATACAAAATCAGATAAGCCAATATGTTGAAACTTGTGGGTAAGAGTAGTTTGTACAAGAATAATTTGTTTAAACGTTGAGGCAATATTTGTTTGGTCTCTCGTCATGTCACCACTTTTCCATTTGTTTCATTAATAACCAAACAATCACATACCCCCTTGACGACATAAAAACCCCTATGGCCTTGTCATGTAAATGCCAAAACAATATAACAAGACAAACTTCTCACGGATTCATGATTCTTGAGTTTTTATCATTACCTTGAAGAAGCTTGTTGTATCGTTTAGTTTGAATCCTCAAATGGAGGCAAACCCCATTCCTCCGGTTTGAAATCGATTAGAGAGGTTAGGATTTGATCTGCAACATCTTGATGAGAGATATCTAGTCTAGGATCCGGCACCATGACCACGTTCCTGTAGAGAAGAATAGAAAAGAAACATAAACTTCTTTCCTTGGTGTAGATAAATGTGTATGGAAACTTGCTTTAAATGTTCATCTTTTTGCTTAACACAAAGGAACTTAGAAACTACTAGGAGACATCAACATACATTCCGGCGTTTTTAGCAGCAAGAACTCCAGATGGAGCATCTTCGAATACCAGAACTTTTTGTGGATCCACAGGACCGTCCTGAGTAATCCACGTAGAGAATACATTAGTTTACAACTCATTGCCAAGTTTGAAATGGAGGGTACAAATAAATCATATACGTACTAGTAGTGGCCTGTTAATTACCTTAAATCTCCTAGCTGCAGCGAGAAAGCCATCTGGGGCAGGCTTTCCTTGCTTCACCTCTGGATCATCACCACGAACTATGTGATGCATCAATGAGAAAAGCTCTCTGTGTCTTTGGGTTTTTAGATCATAATGCCGTGTATGAGTACTGCAATGACATTCGCAGGTGACAAGTCAGTTTCCATATTGTAAAGAGCAGACGCTAAGAATGTTACGAGAAATGAGGGTGTGCTGATGAAGAGAAGCGATACCCCGTAGCAATACAAATTGGAATATTCTTTGCATGAAGATGCTTGATTAGTCTGCTAGCCCCTGAAAATGTGGACGAGGGTTCACAACGGGAAAAGTTAATATGAATCCGCTTCATGTATAATTTCAGCGGTTATCTACTTATAGCCTAAAAGTTTAAATGTCAGATTAAAGCAATAACCAATAAGATCAATCGTGATGAACCAATACAGAACGAGTTTTTTCTCTACAGATGATTATGATTTAACACATAGTCGGAGCCTTTTTGCATTTACCCACATCAAGTAAAAATATCCAGACATGTGATATCTTCCTGTGAACCATATATCATGTGTGCAAACACATGTGTTACAGAAAGGAGATTGTACCTGGCATAAGCTCACTAGTAGGGAAAAGGTCTTGCAACATTGACTCCCTCTCGACAAGGAAGTCCTCAGCTGAAAGAGAATCGCTGATCCCGCTTTCTTCAACAAAAATCCTAGCAGCTTCTATAGCTTTTCTACCCATCATCTTAGCCTTGAGAGACCAATCAAACGTTTTGTTGAATCTAGCAAGTATGATTTCTTGGACCTCAGTGTAAAACTTCTCGGTGTCTGCAACAGAAACCAAATCAACATGAGTTATTTCCATTATGTAAAAATGATCATTAGACGCAAATTTAAACATCTGGTGAACACAACGAGGGAAGGCAAGTTTAAATGATAAAAGAACATAAGAGTTAAATCTTATGATAGCTAAACTAGGAGCACCACAGAGTCACAGACTGCTCTTTAACTACCTCTCGAGTAAGGTAAAAACATTTTTTCCATGAAGACTGATACCAAGGGGAGGCTTCATAAGACAGTGAAGGGGGGAAATTCAAAAACAGAACAAAAATCCTTGCATCAATTAAACTCAACTGTTCAATTCCCAGTCAGATTCAACCTAGTTTTAGCATCTAAAGTATCCTTTCCATTCTATATATATCTTTAATCGTACTATATCTGTAAATACAATAACCTAGCCGAGCAATCAGATACGCATCATCATGATACCGTCACTGTGACATTCCAGAACTCAAACTCCTAAGAACGTTAAGCAAATCGAACAAAACGATCCAATGTCAACTAAAATCTCATTCCAGACAACAACAAGCTAAAATAAAGATAATGTAAGCAGTACGATCCAACAAAGCAAATGAATGAAGATACTGAAATTACCGAGGAGGAGACCGTCCATGTCGAATATGACATGAGTGATTGATCCTCTGGCGGCGACGTCAGCTGGAGTCGACATTGACGGTACGATTTCGATAGATCTCTTCTCGAGGCTGCGATTAGATATCTCTGTTGGAAACCTCCTGCTATGGAATAAAGAACTCAGAATCGATAAGCTAATTAATGGTTTCTACTGTTTTGGAGTGACGAGCGAATCAAATCGAGTGATGTAATTTTACGCTGTAAAGTGACGGGAACATCAACGATCCTTGAATATGGGCCTGATCTTGTAAACGGGCCGGGTCATAACATAATTTTTGGCTAATAATGTAATTGCAAAATCTGAAGTTAAGAGATGGTTAAACTTGCATTGAGCTTAGTGTTAGTTTAGTTATATACAACTAGAGATTTGTGTTAAGTAAGAATATGAAAATTTGTTGGTGAACAAACAGTTTTTGTTAATCCAAAAGCCTTCTTCTTCTTGAGATGATTCAACAGTTGTTTTTAACCTCAGCCTTAGCCTGAATCTCAAATTGTTGTCTTAAATCAGATGCGATTTGATGCACTTGATCCGCCGCCATCCCTCATTCTGGTAACATCGCCTCCTTGATTTACCACTCATCTCTGCCATTCAATGATCACAAGAAACATAAATCGATAAGAGGATTAAAGACATGAAAATATCTTTGTTTCATGTAAGAAAAGAGAGATTTCTGTTTAACTCCATTTGAGTTAACAATATACTCAAAGAAAACGAATTATGTTGTTTTTATGAATATCTATGGCACTAATTCAAGGTATGGATTACCTTAACCTATCAACAACTACGGGATAAACAAAAAAGATATCACAAGAGTTATTAAGCCTACAAACTCCATGAAGATATTACCGTTCAATAGGACATATCATTTCAGCAATTTACTCAAGAAAGTAAATATTTGATGATGCTACCAAATGGGGAATTCAATGACGTTGAGGAAAAAAAATCAGAAAACAGTGTGAGAAGCATGCAGACTATGCCAATGATTATCAAGTTCATCTTCTGAGGCTGAAGAGTAAATGCATATTTGAGGAACTCGTCATAGGATACTTATTTGAGGAACCAAAGACAAGAACAAACGAAAATAATGCACAGAAACTCCAAAAAAAACTTGTTATTAACACCTAAATAAGAGGAGAAATCTGAAAGAACCTGGCTTTGCTGCAACGCATCTCCCAGATCCCTCGGCAATATACATAAATAATGCACAGAAACTCCAAAAAAACTTGTGATGCTTCGTACATAAATTATCCTACATAGCACCAGTTCATCTATGCTTGAACGCCACATATCCCTTCTCGTGTGATCATGAATTCGCAGGAAGTTGCAGGCAAATAAGGTGAAAAAACAATGTCAAGCCGTCTCTGAGCTCTTCTGGACACAGAACTTGAACCGCTCTCATCATTTTCACTTCTCTCTTTGCAGATAGTATCATCACCTCGTGAGATGAAAAATCTAGAATTCACACAATTAGCCCAAGCCAAGCCTAAAGCAGGAACAACTCGTCTCCCAGACGAACACAAATACCTCAAATTCCCAATCCTCAACCCACTTAACCCATCAGCTGTTTCCACCAAATCAGTGACCTGATTCGTAATCACAACAGCCAAACCAAACTTATTAGCTAACTGCTTCAACTTCCCAGATATCTTGAAAAACAAAGAAGATCTCTTCCTCATATCAGACGGAGTATTGTCAAATTCCGATCTAAACAACGCCGCTACAGAATCAAGCACAATTAGCTTCAAAGGAAACCTATTTTCAGAATTACCAACAAACCCATCAATCCTAGGCATTATATCGAACAGGTGGTCTACAGAATGAACATTTTGTACAAACACATGATCACAAGGATTATCATTGTGATTCGCGTATATACTAGGGTTGGATTGATGAAACGATCGCGATAGCTGATGAAGACGGCGAAACGGAAAAGGAAACTCGGAGTGGAGGTAAAGAGAAGAACCGTTGAGTCCGCCGAGTGAAATCGGAAGTTGGGCACAGAGCGAAAGCTGAAGGCAGAGTTGTGTCTTTCCGCAGCCGCTCTCCGCCACGATTTCTGTCAGAGAATCGCAGGGGATACCGCCGCGAAGACATACGTCGATAATTTCACAACCGGTGGTGAGCTTACGATTCGGCGGCGATCGTCGGAGGAGATTCTCCGGCTTCATTTGACCGCCAAAAGCTATGGAATTCTCGGAAATTAAGCGCCACAAAATTCAAAAAGAGAACCAAAAAAAAAAAGACCTACCATTGATATAGGTAGCGTTTAGTCTCTTATTGGGCTATTATACCTTGACATTAGGCCCAATAAGGTAAGATACGAATAATGTAAATTAACTAAACCGCACCGTTTACTCTGAAGCCACCGTGACCCAATAAGCTAGCACACGAATAATTAGATGAACGGTGTCGTTTCGTTTAATCTCACTGCTTCAATCACAACGAAGATCTCTTTTCTCTTTCCCTTTTTCTTCTCCGGCGATTCTTATCAGATCTGATCGATTTCTTCATCAGATGATGCACTGAATGTGTAATCGAGTCGAGGATTGAACAAACGCGATCACTAGAAGCTTGACTGATCGAATTCGGAATCGAGATCATGTCGTGCTTAGCCCTAGCTCTGCAACCAGCAAATGGATCCGACATTTTGCTCCAAACTAGAGAATGGTTTCCACCAGCAAGAGCCCTAATCGCACTCTCGTATTTTCGCCAAATGCGTCAAGCATTAGCTTCCTCTAAGAAACAGCATCAGCAACAGTCGAGTCAGAAACATAGCCAAGCTTCTTCTTCTTCGTCTTCCTTCGTTGCAGATCCCGACGATGCCGCGGCGGCAGAATTTGTTGGTGATGATCCGCTTGCTGCTTCTAATGGACAGGTTATTGTTGGTGTTGAGAGCAAGTACCGTGTTGTTTATAGATTAGTGAACTCGATCTATATCCTTGGTGTTACTGTCGCGGATCATGATAATTCGATCAACGTGTTTGAGTGTATTAATATTGTGAATCAAGCTGTTAGTGTTGTTGTTGCTGCTTGTCGTGGAGTTGATGTGACTCCCGAGAAGCTTGGACGGAAGTATGCGGAAGTTTATATGGCGCTTGATATTGTCTTGCGTGGAGTAAGTGGTATCCGTCTATCGGCGATGCTTGGTTCTATGCACGGAGATGGGATTGCAAAGATGGTTCACTCAGCTCTTGACTCTGAGAATAAGATCCGAGGAGGGGATAGTTGGATGGCTATGGAATCACACGCTGCAGAGCATCAAGCTTCTGTGAACGCATTCTCGAACGCAAGATTCGAATTACCTGCAGAGACCTTGGCTGCTGGAGACGAATTAGCGGCGAGCTTGGCACCTGTCGTGCAAGAGTCAGAGCAACTGAAGGAAGAACCGGAACCGGAGAATAAAGATCCTTTTGCGGCAAGTGAAACGATCAACAAGGAGAAAGAACTTGTGGGTGGGTTCAAGAAGACTAAGGATCCGTCTTCATCAGATTTGACTTTGGCATTGGCTGGACTAGAAGTGACTACATTGCCTCCAGCTGAAGCAACACAGTCTACTCACATCAATGTGGAAGGATTTGAAGGGCAATATGGTGGGATTGAGTTCAGCAACGAACAGGCTACGATTGGAGAAACTTTTGAATCCTTTAGTGATGCTTGGGGAGGTGGATTGGATCCGTCTGAGTTTATGGGACCAAAGAAGATTCAGAAGAAGGAAGGGCTCGGTGGGCTTGAGCTGTTGCACACAAGTGATCCTAAGGCAGTGGAAAGCAAAGATGGAGGTAATCTCGATAACTTAGTTAAAAAGCCTGAGATGAAGGGTCCTGAAATGTATGTCTCTGAGGAAATTAGAACCGAGTTTAGAGAATCCTTGCTTGCTAGAGTAGGATTAATGGGTGTTATCTATCTGAAAACAATGCCACCCAAAGGCTCTGGTGAAGAGAAAGAAACTGAGTTCTCATTTCGTGTTGAGGGTACTACTGCAGTTAAGAGATTTGCCATGCAGAGTTCTCGGATCAGTAGCTTAGGGAACGGGTTGTTTCATGTGAGAACCGCTCCATCAGAGGAACCAATCCCTATCCTAAAGTATAGCTTGCAACCTAAACTAACCCCATTGCCTCTTAGAGTCCGAATGGTGAAACGAATAAGCGGGACTTTACTCTCACTAATGATACAATACGTCTCAAACCCGGATCTACCTCAGCCTCTGAAAAACGTTGACTTTATTCTGAAACTCCCGGTTGATCCCACATTGCTGAAGGTTTCACCTAAAGCAATACTAAACAGAACCGATAGAGAACTGAAATGGCAAATACCTGAGATTCCTCTAAGTGGAACTCCTGGGAGACTAAGAGCACGGATGCCTCTAGATTCAGAGAACGGGGAAGAAGAACCAGAGATCATCTGCTATGTGAAATTCTCGGTTCAGGGAAATACGTCTTTGTCAGGTATCAGTCTACGTGCAGCGGCCGAGGGAAATACAGATTTCTACGAGGTAGATCACAGGTACGAAACCGGAGTCTATATGTGCAATTGATAAGATTCTCTCCACAAGATCTACATTGTTTATAAATTTCTCTAATGTTCTTTGAGTGCCTTTTGTTGGAAATTAATCCTTCTTTTTTTTCTTTTTCTTTTTCTTTCTTTGGTGTCATGTAAGGTTTTTGTGTACTTGTGTATCTTGACATCTCTTCATTGTTGTTTTATCTGTTTTACCCAATTTGCTTTAACACTTTATTACTGAATTGAGGAATACGATTTTTAAGCTTATCAAATATATATACACACTACCTCGGAAATGTTGAGATGGAAGTTTCTTAATGTTGATGGTTTGATAGAAGTATTAAAAATATTTGTGGTTTTTGTAGAAACACAAAAAAAAACTATTATAATTATATAAGGATAAAATTAATGATCTCACACACCATATAACAGCCGAATGATATCCACAGAACATGTCACACTTAGGTCAATTATCCACTAATGACATTGCTTTATAAACTTATAAAATAATGGCATGTGGGTATTACAATCCGTCCTAACCACGGTTTACAATAATATGATACTACTGATATAATTTACATATTTATGTCGTATTGTAGAGTGACATGTCTAGTGGCCAAGTTTATTTATAATAAATTAGTTGAATAATTAACAGAATTGTTTTTTTTCTTTGAAAGAAGTTAAAAGTGAGCAGAAGCTGTGGGATCCTAAACACAAACCTCTAAAAGAGAAGATGAAAAAAGAAAGAAAAAGAGATCGTGAGCAACTTGGCCTACAAGATCGTCAACTTTAAGTCTTTAACACTTCACATTTTGATTAAGAAATTATATAATTTGAGTGTTCATTGACAAATAAGAACGTATGCTTATAATATAATAATGCAAGGATGATTCTAAACCGTATACCTAATATATGACAGCTCTACTTATCACTATACAAAAAAGTACCAATTATTTTGTTTGGTTTTGCAAAAAAAAAAAAAAAGGTGTCTATATTATAGCAATCACAATACAGTGTATATAATAAAATGGCGAGCACATATGCTATACACGAAGGTCAGTTCAGTTGGATCAAGATGTCCGAAAACGTTTTAAGTTAACTATTCAATATCGTCTTCATCCGAGAACCATGTGTCTTCAATGATAATAATACCCCCATCGTTTTATCCGTTTTCAAAGAGGACTGTATTAAAAATGTTTTTAAGAGATTTTAATTGTTTTGGAACCGGCCAATTTATTAGATATATATAAAGAGACTTTCAAACTTATATTTTAGGGTCCGAATGGTAACTGCGGTTTTCATTGCGGGATAAATGCTGTGCGGTTCAAATAGTAACAAAAATATATAGATATATATGTATTTGTAGATATTTTGACACTGTTACATCATTGTTGCGGTGCGGTTTTGTAGTGCGGTATGGTTACCATTCGGAGCCTTATACTTAGACCATAGACTAGACTTCCAAAATAATGGGTTTAACTAATAGACTACCCAAAAAAAAAAAAAATTATTAACTAAACGAATGATTACTAATTTGACAAATATATGGTCCAATAGTAGTTTATATAATACATAGTGCTAAATGGGTACCCAATGAAATACACTTTTTGCATTTCCCATTCCCCACATACAAAAACAAAATCCACATCAAACCACTTGCCTTTTGAGCCACCTTTCTAACCTCTCCTTTTAGTTACAAACCTTTACATATTCTTGTTCTTTCACTTTCTTGACTCTCCTAGTTTTACACTTTCATGAATCATGTTTCATCTACCTAACATCAACAACCAAAAAAAAAAAAAAAGAACAACAACAAAGTAACTCAGCTTATAAAGATAGAAGAAAGAACACAACTTTTGATTTTGACCATCATGATTCTACATTATATAAACTTTTAAAAAAAAAAAAAAAAAAGACAACCAAAAAAAACACATATATCAATCTTCTCTAGTCTTACAAATGTTATCCTCAAGCTCAATCTCTTCTTCATCATGATCCTCATCATCTCCATTCTGACTATCTATAGCCCTCTTCTCTTGCTCCTCAACAACTTCCAATTCCGTCAAATTTCCACTCCCGCCCCTCATTTTCCCATCTTTCACATTTCTCTCCCCTCTACTCTTCAAATCCTCCAACAACTCCCTAATCGCCTTCTCCTTATCCCTCCTATTCTTAATCAGAGCCTCACTTACATCAGCAGGAGTCATCTCAGCCTTGTCCACCACTCTCTCCATCTCCTTCAACACGTCCTCGTCTATATCTTCCACCTCATACCCCAAATAGTTCTTCAGCAAAATCTTCAACGACGGGAAATTACAAAAGCTCATGTAGACATGCATATCCATCCTCCCACTTCTAAGCAATGCTGGATCAAGCTTCTCTATATGATTCGTCGTAAACACAAAGATCCTCTCACTTCCACAACAAGACCAAAGCCCATCTGTAAAATTCAACAAACCTGACAAAGTTATAGTATTCCCATTACCACCTTCCTCCCCTGAACCACCCGAACCCGAACCAGACCCGTTTCTTGTTTCTGCATCGTAATAGCTCCGTTGAGTCGACGCATTGCTACTGTTCTTCTTCCGGTTAGTCAGATTGATCGAACAGTCAATATCTTCAATCACAATGATCGACTTAGAACTCGTTTTCATCAGCAGCTTCCTCAACTCCGAGTTACTATGAACCTCAGTGAGCTCAAGATCATAAATGTCGTAACCGAGATAGTTAGCCATAGCTGCGATCATACTGGACTTACCAGTACCTGGTGGTCCGTAAAGCAAGTATCCTCTTTTCCAAGCCCGACCAGTCTTCTGATAAAAGACTTGACCTTCAGCAAAATCCTTAAGATCATCCATGATCTGTTGCTTCTTGATCGGATCCATAGCTAAAGTTTCGAAAGTACTTGGATGCTTAAAAGGAACAGATTCCCATGGATGACCTCTCGAATCAAGTGACCCACCTCTCGAATTCGTGTAGAGCAACCGATCTTGATTTTTCCGACGAATCTCGTTAGCTCTCTCCATGATGTAATCAAGATAAGAATTGAGTATCAAAGTTTTGTCCTTTTTCTTGATTCGTAGAGTGAATCCACGTTTCTCTTCAGGTAATGGTCTCCAAGCAAAAGTCTGAGTTTGACGCTGTGTAACAACGTGTTCCCATAGAACTGTAACGCCGTTGAAGGTGTCGACGATTGAGTCGTTGTTGGAGAGACCGAAAGTGATGGAGGAGGAGTTAACGGCGCGGGTGAGGCTTAAACGGTTTCCGGCGATTGAAACGGATGAGCTAAGGTAAAGCTGAACGGCGTTGTAGAGCTCGTTGGTGTTGACGCCGTCGATCTCTGTTATGTCGAAGTAACAGTAAGAAGAGAAGAGGTGGAAGACTCTGTTGAAGAATTTGAGGAAAGCGAAACGGAGCTCCGGTGGGAATATTGATTGCATTAAGCTTTGACAAAAAGCTAAAACGCCGAGAAGTGAAGCTAACGATGTCCAATACTCTTTCATTTTTGAGAGATTAGATCAAGCGCAAAACAGAGTTGAATCAAAAACAGAGGATTTTTTTATAGAGAAAAAGGTGTGAACTTTACGGTCGAAATCAACGTGAGAGACAAAAGAGGAGTACGGGTTTTGAGATACGAGGAGAGATTAAAGATGGGTTTGATTTGATTTATCTATTAGAGATTATGAGAACTCGGGGGAGAGATACAAGGAAAGAAAGAAAAAAAGGTGAAAGCTTTGAGAAGAGAGATGAAGAAGAGAGGAAGAGAGAGAGAGAGAGAGAGAGAGAGAGAGAGAGAGATGGGTTTTGGTGTCAATTTATAAACTTTGTTTGACAAAAAAAACTTGAGAGAAAGGAAGAAAAAGCCTGGTGATGGTGAAAGAGGCAAAGAAGGGAAGAGGTGGGGGAACAAGTGTAAAAAGGAGAAAAATAGTTTATTAAAAAAAGTTTGGGATTTGGAGTTTTTTTCTTTGAATATATGAAATGTTGAATTTAAGGCTTAATTACTAGTAATGGAGTTGCTGGATTTGTGTGATTTACAGTCATTATGTTTTTTTGGGACTTTTCTTTTTGTTTTCTTTCTAAATGTCTTTAGACTTTTCCATTAATAAAAAAAGAGTTATTGACACTTTGACCCACTTTGTGGGAAAATATTTGCAATCACACCCACTTTGTGGATATGGTGTACTTTTGGTCATGTTAAGTTGAGTTTGCAAAATGATGTTGACTATTATGCCCTCGATTTGTGTTTGCCTGGAAAACAAATAGAAGACTTACGTATAAAACGTGAGCCATAGGATGATAATTGGATGAGGAGATCTTGTGGCTGAAATTAAATCCTGGATTTTTCTCTCATTCTCTCCTTCTTTCTCTCCCTTTTTTCCTTCCTTTTTTTTGTTATTATCATTTTCGGTGGGTATTATAAAAATAATATATTTATTTATATATAATAGGTTATAATTATATTTTCTTTACATTTTAAGATGCATATTGATATATTTTAGATGAATTATTATCTTATATACTATCCATATGTTGTTGAACATTTGTTCATTGATAAGTGGATGTTCTATTTGTATTTATAATTACTTTGTGTTTAGTAATATGAAAACATATTAAAACCTATTTCATGAAAAAATTGCGGTTAGGTAAAAAAGTCATAAATAAGTCTTAACCCCTAAACCTTAAATCGTATACCCTAAACCCTAAAACCTAAACCCTAAATCTCAACAAAACATGAAATTCTTTACTCTTATAGACTCAATAACTTCCGATGGGTTTGAAGCTGTAACAAGAGAACCTAAACCCTAAATCCCAAATCATATACCTTTAACCCTTAACCTTATGTCCTAAACTCTAAACTCTAATCTTAAACACTAAACTCTAAACATAAACCATGAATCTCAAACCTTACCTCTTATCCAATTTAATTTAGCTCTAAAACAAAAGCCATAAATCATACACTACATTCTAACCTACAAACATTTTAATGAACATCCAAGCATATCCATGCTACTGTAACCACATGGATATATATGGTCAATGTATCTAAGTGAAAAGAGAAAAGAATGGAATACGCAAATTAAGCTAACAAGAAAAACATTGGAAGATGACACGAAGCTAGAGTGAAAGTAAATAAATTATTTGAAAAAAGTTATAAGGAGAGGCATCGTGGAAGTATGAAATTTCTTTACAAATGCTAAAACATATACACAACATGTCCTTAAACATTAAACCCTAAACCCAACCACTAAATTCTAAACCCTAAACACTAAAATCTAAACGTAAACCATAAAAGCTAAAACAAAACAATAACACTAAAACTTAAACTCTAAGCCCTAAACTGAAAACCCTAAACACAAAACCCTGAACTATAAATCCTAGACACTATAGAATTTAAAGAATAACCGACTCTATCCACAAGTATTTCAAAAAATATTAACAATAAATCTCAAACCCTAAACTCGAAACCAAAAATCATAAACCCAAATTCATAAACCCTAAACACGAAACTCAAAAATGTATAAAACTAATCAATGTAATACCAATGGATCATATGTAAGTGAGCAATGGACTCATTACACAAAGAAACCATAAAACCATGACCCGAAATCCTAAAACGGAAGTTTTTAATTGATCTTGAATTTTGATTCCACAAAGGTATCCATTGTTATTTCTTTGTTGATCTTGAGTTGTCAGTTAGTTATCATCCATACAATCATGTCCATATGGATACCTAAGTAATCTTGTTGATAATAAACAGAGCAATTGTATAGCAAAAATTTATATAATTGTAGTTATGTTCACTTGCATTTACTTTTGAGATTTGGAGCTGACAATGAATCATTATTCTCTTTTCTTTCGTTGAAGGTTCTCCTCTGATATTATTTAGTTCAGTTTGATTTGCTACGAATGATAACCATGTGTAAAGGGTTGTATGGATAGGTCAGAAATACTCACAAATTTGGGAAGAAAATACACAAACATTTACAAAGTATAACAAAAACACAAATAAATAACTATTTTGTGAGCTTCACCGCCGAAGAAAATTATGTTTGAGATGGAACTGTTCAAATCAAATTCAATTTTATTAGTGTCAAGATGAGAGATAAAGAGAGGAAGGGGAAGAAAAATAAAATAAAAAATGAAGTGTGTGTGATGAAAGAGATACGAAGATAATGAAGAAGACATGTGAGTTTGACAAAGAGAGAGAAAAAAGTGACAGATATAAGGAAAAATAAAATAATTTAGTGTTTGGATAAAGTGAAATAACAAAAGAAAAAAAATGAAGAGGGATGGAATAGTAATTTTTTCTACATAAAGTATAGAGGTAGTAGAAAGTAGGTGTATGTGTTATAAAAAGTTGGTAAAGTGGGTTTTGATGCAAATAATTCATAAAAAAAGTAACGTATTTAGACTTTTTTTTTAAGATACATTAATAACAAAATTTTGTAACGGATTTTTCTAGTGTTTGTCATCTTTGTATTAATTTTATGAGAAATGAAACTATATAATTCACGCCTTATTATAGAGAGATTTATTTATGCACGTTACCAATAGTAATTTAATTACAATGAAAATTTTTTAAAACGAATAATATAAAAAGATAAAAGAAGAAGTGATGTAATGATGTGATAGTTCAGTGAATAAGGTTAAAAAGATTACTGGGGTTGTTACAGAGTAATGTACGTACACAGCTAAAAGTAAAATGCCTTGTGAAAATTCTAACAGCAAAAATTTTATAATTTGATTTTCTTTTGTTTATTTTTGGGTGCAAATTATAGTTTGGTATATGTTTGTGAATACTTTTGTGTTGTGACTGTTTTGAGAAAAGAAAAAAAAGCTTACAGTTTTGTGGAGATATTGTTCACGTTGAGCTCCCTCGAACTATATGATTGTTTTGTGAAATATTTTTTGTTTAAATAGAAAAACAAGATGAATGTGCATTATAAGTTTATAACAAACAAATGCAGTTTTAAGAAATCAATAAAAGAGGCAAACATTTCATGTGCTGCAAATAATTTGGAATAACACACATGACAGTTTGACAGATACATACTTTGAGAACATTTGTATGGGCTGGGAATAATTAAATAATTCATTGGCTCAAACAATATATGAAACAACTATTTCATTGCTTTTGTTTAAATCTATACAAGTTTACAACTAATCTTGTTTTGTCATTTCTACACAAATGAGAAACAAGTCAACTCTTGTTGTTTTATAAAGCTAAGCCAGAAAGGGCAAATGTAATTAGCAACCTTATTTACTTATTAGCAGCCCTTTTACTTTACTTCGATTCAGCTTTAACTTTTTTTACATTTAGATTTTAGAGTTTAAGATATCTGAAAAGTATGCATCATCTTTTTATATAGTAGATTGGAATTTGTTTTCTTTTGTCAGAAAAAAAAACTGGAAATTGTTATTGGTGAACAAAATTTTTGGTAATTTAAGTTTGCAATCTTATAAATTATGAAGATTATTAAACGGAAACTAGCAAGAATACAGGAATGTCAAAGGTGTTGAACATTTGAGAACATTAAAGATTGTCAAGATTTCTGACTTTTAAATCAATGGTTGTAAATTTTGACTTTCGTCTTTTTTTTTTTCAAAAACAAAACCAATTGAATAGCAAATAATTCTAACCAATACATTACCAATTCCCACATAATACAAAATCTTTTCATTTCTTATTTTACTTTGAAGAACCAAATCCACTTGCCTTTTTAAAATCTCTCTCTCATTTTTTAGTTAATTGGCAACATATAGAATTAGCCCATCCATAGAGTATGTATATTAGCTTTCACGTAACACTCTTTTTGGTGCGGATGGGCCGGCCCGGCCCGATATGAACAGTAATGATTATTTTATTTGTTTTTGAACCGCAATAGCAAACCGGTTCTAATTCTTAATATGGTGATTTATATACAGTAAAACCTCTATAAATTAATAATGTTGGGGCCATGGAAATCTATTAATTTATACAGGTATTAATTTATCGATAAATTAATAATTATTAATTTATAGAGAGATATTCCTAATTTGGAAAATATTTTCAAAACAATATTTAAAAATAAGATTTAATCATGATAATTAGTATTTTATATATTCAATTACAAATAAAATAATAATAATTATGTATTAAAATAGAATGCTAATTATTTTTCATATAGTAAAATATTAGAAATAAAATCTAACAAAAACTAATGTGTCTATATATATACATATATTTTGAAAATTTTACCTAATTATTAATTTATAATATTATTGGGACCATATATTTACAAAGGATTTTCAAAAAAATTATTATCTTATTATTTTATCGAAATATGTCTAAAATTACACTGGTCCCAACTTGGGACCGGAAAAATTATTAATTTATAGAGATTATTAATTTATCGAGTATTAATTTATAGAGGTTTTATGTGGAAGAAGATGCCAGAATGAAGAATCCGTGGAATGTCCTCTTAGGTTGTCAATTAGGTGATAAATCTCAATTTGATCGACTTGTAGTATTATTAATCTTGCATGTTCGTGTCTTAAGAAAGACGTATATGTGTGGATATTCTTTGGCTTTTTATTTTCTAACTTGTTTACTATATTTTTACTCTGCTTTAAAGTCTTTATACATTTTCGACTTCTTCTGCCTCTATGTATTTCAGGTGATGATTTCTCAGAAGCAAAACTGTATTCTATCTCTCTGGATTTTCTTTTCCTTTTCTTTGGGTGTTGCAAGTCTTTTTCGGACACTGCTTTGCTATAATTGTTACAACTTCAATCAAACCTTAAGGTGGTCTTTGCGTGTTCATGTGATCAGATTGATAATCTTTACACAACATAACTACAGGACTGAAACCAATATATGAGATAATATGATATATTCTTCTCTTATTTTGGAGAGAAACACAGAAGAAATTAACGGCCAGGTTGATTCATGCTAGCTTAAGGCAATTATATCAATTACGAGGGGACGACGGTGTTGTACGTCTTTACAAATCGATCAAATCAAATGAAACCAAAGTCTAAAAGAAACATGAACAAGTTTCATCTCAAAAATCGGGTTTTGCTCACTCCCTTTTCTTTCACATCACAATGAAAAACAAATATTAATGCAAATGTGATTTAATAACCCTACAAACCTTCTGTTTGGGGGCGATTTTTTAGCACTTTGGGAAAAAAATTGAATTGTTTAATTTGTGTTCCACAAACTGATAAGAGCTCTCTTTTTTGTTTTATGGTTTGAGGGCAAGGGCGAGACCAAGCCTAGGTGAAGAGGTCACAGCCTTGGAGTCATACTCAGCTGAGAAAGTGATGAGCGACTTCGGTCTCCATTCTCTCTGGACCACCATCCCTGCTTTCCCGTTGTCAGAGAATCGGGTCTTAACCACTGTGCATGGATCCAAAGAGTGGGAGCTTCCGACGGTGAAGCTATTGTTATAGTTGGAGAAGCGACGAATCAGTTCTGCACCAAAGGATGTGGTTTGGTTCACTGTGTGGACGTAAGTAGCTCTGAGACTCTCCCCTTTATCCTCCCTACAGTGTCAACAATCCCACTAAGCAACAACCAAAAGCAGATAGAAAAATGGAGCATCGTGTTTTGATTCTTACAGTATGAGTGCAGCAGAGACGTCTTGGTTGTTGAAACTGATCCCTGCATTGTACTTGGTTAGTGATGACGAAGCTGTGTCGAAACTGACTTCACCACCAAGGTATACATTCTTGCTTCCAATAGTCGCTGATAGATCTAGCAGAGGAGTTGGGTTGAGGCCAATACTGGAATTAAGCGTTGCATGAGGATGAACATATTGCACATCCAGCTGAAATAATAGCAAATAAACAGGTCATGACTTGACATTACAATTTGACTGAGACCTATAATAGTCATGTTTCTAATATGGGGTATACACTGACCTTGCCCGACTTGTGATCAGGTATTTTGAAGCTAATAACAGCTTTAGCAGATGGCATGAGATTTTTGACAGTTACTTTCGTAGACACCTGCATAAGAAATATGTTCAGTTATATGGTTTAGGACAGTTAAGGTGCAAAAACATGTATCACTAGAGAAATATACTTACACTTGAGTGGCTATCGATTTTCAGATCAACAATGGTGTTTTGACCTTTATATAGTGTGCTTATATCGCCAAAAAAGAAATCATCCTTCTTCAAACCAGTAGCCACAAATTCCTGTTGGACAGAAAATTTCATTATACAGTATAGTTTACATAGTTTTTTTTTTTTTTTTTTTGGTCAAGTTTACATAGTTTAAATGCAAGTTAATAACATTAGTTTGAGGAGGAAGTGAGCCAAACAGCCCTATTTAGATGACACTAGAATCACAGCAAAATTTCACCAACTAATGGTGCATCCAACCTCAATATATGTACATAAACTGCATATATAGATTCAAAGTGCATAATTCTAAACAATTACTGCAACCATTTTGGACTCAAAAAAAGCATGCAATACCAGTATTCATTAGCACTTTCCTGATATCTTGAGCACAGTCTATATCGTGGCACACATTATCAACGGTATATATAAGTAAATTATGATTTCTATAAGATGGATTTACTCCATTCGAGTAAAAGTGATATCCTACTTACCGTTCCTGTAGCACTCAGCATTGTCAGAGTAAACTTGTGGTCAAAAATGTAGTCCTTGTTCAGGAGATCTGCAGGTTTCCAATTACTAATAGTCAATAAACTGGAACACAACACAGACAGTAACACCAAAGCAATGTCCAAGACTTGTTAAACTTACCTTTGGCTTTCTTGCCAATATCGGCAAACGGAGCTGGACTGCTTCCCATCTTCAGATGTAGAAAATAAAATGCCTACGAAGTAGAGTAGAAACAAAAGTTAGAAACACAGTAATACCAAAAGCAAAATCACCATTATTCAAAGATTCACCTACAAAAACCAAAACTGCTCTGAACTAATCAACAATTAGATGTTAAAATTCAATTGGAACCAATCCAAATCTTCAAATTCCTACATTCACAGGTCTCTTCTATACCATTCCCTACAAATCTATAGCCTCTATGTTAACTATCTAATTGAACAGATCAAGAGCAGAATCTACCTATCATTACCGTAACACAATCACTCTCGCATAAACTAAATTCAAAAACTAGTCAGCCATAAGATCATCTCAGCTCGTTATACACGAAGAAGAGGAAGAATCAAAACAAAAAGAGAAAGAGAGGAAGATTCCTTACGATGCGAAAATGGAAGATCAACGAATAGAAACGGAATCGATAACAATCAAAAGGAGCTTCGTTGGATAAACCCTAAACTCTACTTCCGTCGCCTTCGATGGTGGAATCAGGCGACGGCGGCTGAAGAAGAAGACGAAGACAGTAAACACTATTTCGCAGTAAAATTAAAACTTAAAAAATAAAATATAAAAGGCCTCGAGAAACTCAAAGGTGAAGAAGAGAGGAGAAAGGCCAACACTCTCGATGAGAGCAATGATAATGTCACTTGACGTTGAGCTTCTGTCACGCTTTTCCTTTTTTTCTTCTGAATAAAGGCTTTTTGTTTATTCGTCTGTGATATAACTTATGTCACGGGCAAAAAAGCTTGTATCTGATTCGTGAGGCCCAAATACGGGTGAGGGTGAGATCAAGCCCAGGTGAAGAGGTCACACAACTCACAACCTTTTGCATAACATAATTAGGAGACTGAAACCATGTTAATTGCAGATAACTTTATTAGTATTATCTAAACATATCCAACCATGTTAATAATTCTAAATCAGAGCAATGTAAACCTCATCATAATCACATAAGAAGATTAGAGAGTTACAAACTACAAAGTCTGGTTTACTAATCATCCCACCAAAAATAATCGATTATTAAAGAGTATTAACGATCACAAAACCAATTTTAAGTAAAACAATACAAGTATAAAAATATAATATAAACCGGTAAAAGCAAACGAAAAGACTATCTAGGGTATGTGGTATAATTTGGAAGGCTTGAGATTGCTAGTAACATTGAAATAGTTCAACGTACGTATCCACTTCTCTTGGTTCTTCAACAAATGAACCGCAATAGTGTCAGGCCAAAGCTCATGTGTGCATCGAGTCGGTGGCTCAGGGAAATTATACATAGACCACTTAGCGTTAAACCTGTTTTTTCCTCGTCGTCCTTCTCTAATCCAATCGCCAAACACTTTGTCTTCAGGACCTTCTAGATGTTTCTTGGGAATTTCCGAGTCTTTGAGCCAAACCGCAATGTCCCATGACACTAAGTAACCCATTCCTGACATGTAATGGACGAACGGGTCCATGCTTGGACATGGAATGACATAGCCGTAGTAGAGATCTTCTCGAGGTAGTGGTCTTAAAGATGCAACGAGACTTTCCAGTCTTATGTATGTGTCGTCGTCGGCTTTCATCACGTAATGGTACGGTGGGTTAGGTGCATCGGTTTCGTTGAATAAGTCTGGTAAGCTTGAGAAGTATGTGTACGTTTTGCCTGTAGAAGAATTAAGTTAGTTAAAGTTGAACTAAGCCGATCCAAATCGAACTAAGTCTTTGCTAAAGACTAAATCTAGAGGAAAGAAGCAAAATTCAATTCGACTTTTGTGTTTTTCTAAGTTACATAATCAAACCAAACATTTAGCAAGTTTCTGTATGATTATACCAAATCAAACCAAGCATATATATATATATATATATCCAAAAATAAAATAAAGAGTGGTTTAATTTTGAGATAAACCAATTTAATTACCTTTGTTCATATTCTCATTGCAAGTGAGTATGATGATATCATCATAACGCATAATCTCTAAAGCAACAAGCACTTTCTGGTCTTCTTTAGTCAAGTTACAGAACACGAACTTCACATCAACCTTAACACCGTCCGGAACAACTTGTGTCCCGTAGATCATGCGGAGAAAATGCCGACGTGGGTACTGATCAGGAAGTGTAAGGATTCCAATAAGAATCCTAATCTCATCACCACCAGAAGAAGACAACAACGGAGTCTCCGATGAACTATTATTATTCATCGGGACGTTTGACAAAGCACATCTTCCAAAACTCAATAAGCTATCGAATCTGACTTCGTTGATGAAAGCTAATACACAAAGAGCTATGATGAAGAAGAAAGAAGGGATAATGAACTTTCTTCCTTCCGATCTTGGAGTATATTTCATCTTCTTTGCTTCCTTCAATGGAGATGATGAGAAACAGAGGAGGAAGAATGTAAGAAACTAAATAAAAAAGGAAACTTTTTTTTTTTTGTTTTCTACCTTAAATGAAACGCATATGGATATTTTGATATTTGGGTTATGGGGAATCAAAAAAGTAGGGCTTTAGAGAAGCTTAAGGAACGTGAGGTTCAAAGTAGAGTTTGTAAACGAAGCAAGTGCAGTGCTTCAATATTTCACGCCATTCATCATGCTATTGTCTTCTTATTTATATATATATTACTTGTGATTTCTGTTTGTTTTTTTTTTGTTTTTGAGTTCTGAATGAATCATCTTTATTAATTTCCTACATTCTTATAAGTTATAACAAATATAAGTCAAATTAATTCAACTTGAATAAAGTGGTGGATCTAAGCCTAATGTCTGGCCAGAAGTATAATAAAATGTTTTTGTTTTAAAATATATACATATAGTGGTAGTAGTACTGTAGTAGTAGCTTGCAAAAATGAAAGTTGGGTGTGATTTGGAGTCAAAAAAATAAATTTGGTAAAAGAGAAATAAAGGAACGTGGGTGGGTTTCGAATATCGTGACCCGCAACAGTCTCATCTTGCCACTTATTTAATTAAGTCGTTGACTTGTACTAGATCTTAGTACACGCTTTACCTTTTCCTTTTTCTGTTTCCTCTCTACTTGCTTAGATTGATGATTACCTCATAATTTTGTCTATTTTTGTTAATACGATTTAAAGAGATTTATTAGTATCTATCTATAAGAAACATTATGATCTCAATGCGAAAGTGTGTGGGAAATGAAAAAATAGAAATGCAAAAGTGTTTGTAGACTTTACATTGGCTTATAATTTTGCAAAGTCAAAACGAGTAAAATGGTGTTTAGTATTTGGATTTATGGGCTTAAAGCGTAGGGTAACATAGCCTAAGAGCAACATTATAGATACTATGTTAATTAGGGTATCTTACATTAATTTAGTATTAATTTTTAAAAAGTAGAATTTAAGAGTTTTAATTTTGTTTTTAGTTCTGAGAAGTGTTTATTGGTAGGATCTTAAGTTGGGTATCTTAGAAAAAAATTATTTTTTTAAAAAATTTAAAAAATTAATAATTTGTAATTTAATAAAATCTTATAATTATTGCAAATTTAGAATTTGAAAACATACAAAAGAGAGAGAGATTATAAGATAGAAATTATAACATAAAGTATTGTAAATTTAAACTTGATTGCGAGAAAATTTAGAGTGTTCGACCAAATCGTTATTCAATTGTTCATGCTTAGCTCGATCTCGAAGTCGAGTTCTAACGGCCATTAGATTGACGAGATTTGAAGGCATATTTGTATTATACGAGAAATTCATTCGTGTACTTCCGGCAGTTTCCGTTTGTTGAAATTCAATGACATCAAACTGAGTATACATATCTCGTTCATCTTCATTTGATTAAAAAATATTTTCCCACTAAATATTTATCATCTTAGCCAATCAGACTTTATAAAAAAAAATAAAAAAATCAATCAATCATAGTCTGCCACGTAGGCGTCTCTTAAGCCACCAATGATATCTTCTCCAACATACTCCAGCATGGGTATCTTAACATTTATTATGTTTTTTGATTAAAATTTAAATGCTATTAATGTTAAGATACACCTTAAATCCTGCTGATAATGTTGGTCTAATGTCAATAATGTCCAAAATACAAATTTTAGCCCAATTAGGTCATTATCCATTAGAAAAAGAATAATGTTGTGTAGGCATATGGACTATGGAGGACCACGATTCAATTACGAAGATAAAAACAAAAAATATAATGATGATCGCAAGAAACTTTATTATGTTCATAATGATTGAAAACAAGAATATATATTATGGCTTCGAATATATAAGCAAGCAAGCAACAAAACCTTTCAATACTCGAATCGATAAAATGACATTACATATATTATCACATTTTTCTCTCATGAGCTCACTATACATTGGTAAATTATAAAATGTAAATGAACAAATGTGATAAGCCTACCACTATAAAATTAAAAGATATAGCAGGCCATCGTCAACTAAGACCCAATCAAAATTATAGGATCTTGTTATTATTACAACACATACGAACGAATGAATAAAAAAAAAGAAAAGGAAAATTAAGGTGACCTGTAGTTGAAACTCTGATTATTACCCAAACAATATTTAAGTTCCAAAGAGATTTGTCTCTCGATCTGAAGCTGCTTGTAGAAATTAGCTATGAACATCTCAGCTTTGCTGTCTATGTCTTCGTCCGAAGATGGATCATAACTCCCGGCTCTATACAACGCTCCCCTTGAAGAACCGTTTGAGCACAGTTCACTCTCTGTATAAGCCGCTGCTAAACCGGGTCTCTCGTTGAAACTTAACCGAAGAGACGAGGAAGAAGAGGAAGAGCCAAGCATCGGTACGAGACTCCATAGGCTGTTTATCTTGAAACTTAACACGAACTTCACTTTATTCACGGCTTGTCTGAACCGGTCTAGTAACGAAACGTCTTTGCTCTTTGCCATGTCAGCAAATACAATACCTTCTCTTTTTTTTTCTTTCTTGTTGGATGAATAACTTTTTTTCTCTGCCTTCGTAATGGATCTTTTGTTTTGTGTGTGTGTGGATTTTGAAATATGTTGGAAATGAAAAGGGAAGGGTCTTATATAGGACACTGGTAATGTCGGCTGCAGCCTCTAGTTCTACGCAATTTTTCAAAGAAATCTGTATAACACATAGTTTTTTAAATTATTATAATGTATAGATATAGATAGGAATAGGAAACTGATTGGAAGTTTACGTACCAATATGGAGGCGTATCAATATGGTTTAGCGAGTGATATTATTAAAATTCGTTCTAGTTTTTTTCTTTGAATTTTCCGAAAGACAAGTGGTGTGCAAGTACATGCAAAAGATCGCATATTCTCGAGTATATTATGTGTTCTAGTTGGGTTACTAGTTACAACTTACAAACCATGTACGTTTTAAGAGTCCCTGCATGGGAATTATAACTCAAGCTAAATTGAAAATGGCATTTGAAGATTTAGTACCAGACGACCGATTAACTTAAGTGTTTTTTCTACAGATTCAACCTCTAGAAATTTAGAGGTCTTATTTATACATGTGAGATTTAATATTGAACACATGTTATTTAATTAAATCGAAATATAACTTATATAGACAGGGGAATAGAAAGAACTAAAGAAAAGAATGGGTCAGTCAACGTTGCGGGCGCAGACTTTCTTAATCGCGTTGCTAGTTTTTTCGGTTATCTTGCAAGACACGAATGATAAGAACGACTGTTCTAATAAAAAAATTTGGGTCAACCTATTGTTCTACTTAATTATGGTTTTATTTATTTTTTATGTGGCTTTTATTAAGAAAATAATTGGGATTCATCAAATATAATCAATATCATATGTTCACAAACAAAAAAATTAATATTGATATATCATTTTTAAGTTGTTAAGAAAGAAAGTTATATGAAAAGTAAATAAATTTGCAAGCTTCATTATATAAAAATTAAAAATTTCGTTATTTTGACTAATCAATCATACTAATCTTAAGTTTGATAATAACCTTGTTGAAACAAAGAATAAAAGCATGAAAAAAAAAAGAATAAAAGCATGAAGCCTAATAAAAACAGAAACTCAAATTTAAGTGAAGACAAAGAGATGGTAAGCCCATTCCCATTATTAAAGCCCGTGCTTAAAAGTTGCCACAAGAGATCTAAAGTCTTATTAAATCGAAATGTCTCTATTCTCTGCTAAATGCTTCTAAAATGTGTAAAGTTTATGGATAATCTTTACAACTTTTCTTGTATGTATGTATATCTTATAAGATCGTTGTGTAAAGTACTTTAAAAGCAGTTTCTTCAAAAATAACAATCAACTAGAGATAACTGTTTCTGTTTTGTTGGATACGATTCACACGACATAATCAAAATCACATACAGTATATTGTTAATGACTGAACCAAAAATCCTAAAAAAGATGAAGATTATAACATTTCGTTTGGAGAAGTAGGAAAAAAAAAACAGTAAAGCGTGGAAAAAATGACAAGACACCAGTTTCATGTTCACGCTTGCAACTTCCAATTGTCAACTTTGCTTCACTCTTTTGTCTGCCACCTTTTTCTTTAAATCCGTTTTAATTTTTTGTGGCACAACAATTTAATTGAAATGCATATACAACTCATATCCATTTTGATTTTGTTCTCTTCCCTTTTTTTTTGGTCAAGTCCTCAATTCTTTTTAGCCTCCTTAATTTCATTGATAGTTCCAGCTATTCATTTGTCAAAATTACAATTTGGTTGCTGCAAAAAAAAAAAAAAAACACATACTGTACATATTATTCTGCTAACCTAATAATTTTATACCATTTCTATTTGTGTTACATAACGTGAACTATGAATTTCTTTGGAAAAAAAAAAGAACCATGAAGCTCATGGGTATGGTCTATACATAATACATTACATGGAGTGGCTAATACAAATGATTATCTAAAATATAACTGAAGCTCGAATTATTGCGGGATGGAGACGTTAGGAAATGTAGCCAAAACGTCCGAAACAATTATTATGATGATATAGCATTGTTTCATAACCAAACATTTCATATCATGAATCTGTCGCTATTTTCGATTGTTTAAGGATGTGTGTTGTTAACTCTTCGTCGGTCGAAGAACTACAAAGCTTTCGGTATAGGACAAGACCCGAAAAGAAAGTGACGTGGGGATTGGGATAAGAACACAGTAAAATGATGAACTGAGATTGCATTATGCATAGTATCATCCTCTCTTTTTAAGAATAATGTATATATATCACATGAATTTTGTTGTTTTATAGATTCTTCCACTAACAAGTAAAGTTTATAACGATTGAAGCTTGTACAGTGACTTGCACCATACGGTACAGTTTGTTTTTCTTAAGTGAGTGTTGCTTTAGGTTGGTCCATTGCAAATTTCTTCGGCTCTCTCGATTAAATATCTTAGTTGAGATCATGGACCTACCAATATCAACATAATAAATGTTGAATTAGCACATATAATCACAGTTTTGTAATGTTTGTTTACATGTTTTACTATCCAGTATCCATTATTATTTATTATATGTGAAGTTTTTTAAAAAACTATAATTTATGAGTACATATTAAAACGAATTCATATTTCGCAGTTCATCTACTAGAAAAACTAAGGTTTTAGCACTTAAATATTGTTAAAAAAAAAGATTATCAATTGATTCTAGTATTTTCAGTATAAAGTACTTTATCATCCAAATATTCATTTTTGAAGGTATTTGCAAAAATTATACTTTATTCTCCTATAGTTTTTATCTTATCTTAAAAAACTTAGATAATGTGGAGTAATTCTTCCATATATAAATGCATGAATCTTATACATCTATTAGGTAGAATGTTCAATAATATTTTCAGATCACCCTATATATCCACATATTCCAGCAAAAAAAAAAAAAAAAATTGTATAACGACTAGCCAAAAGTTAGTATTTCGCCATCCACAAAAGTGTTAATTTGTTACTCATTTCTAATATACACTTTAAATTATTTGGTATATATTCAAGTATATATCGTTTTATAACTATAGGGCATATACATTGACAAACACAAACCATGTGTATGAATTGAATATGAGGTAACAACAAATATTGGATTTGATATTAAACTAAGATATTCTTATTAGAAGATGGACAAAGAAAAACATGTTCAGAACCATTCCCGTCTAAGTTCTTTCAATGGATATAATTACATACTATAGTAGTAATCATAAATACACAAATCACAGACCAGATATTTGTTACAAAAGTACAAAGACTATATGCTTGCTTTGACTGATCATAATTTATAATATGATATCGCGGATTAATATGTATACTATCTTTTTCCCACTAAAATCTTAATTTAGAATCTGTATAGAAGTAATCAAGAAAAATTAACATGAACATAACAAATCATGTGAAACAAATCTTGTTGTGTTGTGTCTCTGATAAAGAGACAAAATGCTCAGCGCAAACCTAGCCGACTGTTTAGATTATAATCCCATAATCATGGTCTAATCTTGTTCTAATCATTCTTCTTATTTTAAAAAGTGAATTATGAGTTTATTAGTTTTATATTATGATCAGATGAGATCTGATCCTCTTGATACCTTTTTTTTTTTAATGTAAGTGGACATAATGATAATGGGAGCGTAGTGACGCTGATTTTTCCTATTGGTTGACGTCGTACGCCGAATTTATAGAAGCCAATCAATTTGATGAGTATATTTTTTTTTAAACAATCAACAAAAGATTATATTAATAATTATTTATTCATCGCTTTATACTATAATTCAGTCCCATTCACTTCCCATGTGACATCCTGAGTTGCTTACATTGCTACTATAATTATTTAACTAAGATTATACAAATTTATTTAACAAACAATATACTTATGCATCGTTCAACCTATTGTATCCCAAAACTGCTATAAATGTAAGAGCTTTCTATTTTTTAAGATAACGAGGCATTTGTCTATTTTGATTCTGTTTAATTTACGTGGGAAATTTAAGTTTACAACATTTGTTGGCAATAAAAATATACTACCACTATTTTATTTTATTTTTGCAAACCAAGAAATAGCTAGTTTAATTTAACATTAAATTCAAAAAAAAAATAGCTAGTTTTTAAACATTTCACGAGAGAGAAATTTTTATCAAAACATGTCTCTCGTCTACCTGAAATTCTTAATAAAATTTTCACTGTAAAAGGTGTAGCGCTTTTATTTTATGTTCAAGATCGAAGAAAACTATTTTTTTTTTAAGTTTTCTTTTCAAAAGAATTAAGTAGTATAAAACTAGTATTGGTCTTTTTTGGAAAATGAACATGTAGTGATTATTATTGTGTCAAAATTTAATGTTAGAAAATATGAAGGTACATGCATGGTATTTATATGGACATTGTGTTTTTTTGTTCTTTTTTTGTTTGATAAATATTTATGTGGACATTGTTGTCCAAATTTTTTTGATAAATTTTTAGTGGACGCAATCTATCGTATAGTTTATACGTCTACGTTTTGTCCAATTAGTTCCTTATAACAACATTGTAACATGATAACATAGAGAGGTATATGCAAAAAGTGTGTATGTACATAATATACTATGTATAGTAGACTAATCGTCACATGAAGTATTAATGTCGTCCCATCGTAGGACAAATAGATTTGAGGTGGACAGCAACATAGTCCAACCTTCTTTTTTTATTTTTCTTTTGGTCGCCTCATCTTCCACGTCTCCTCATAATCAAATCATATAATTGCATTCAGGTTTCTATAACAGCAGAAAATAAAAATCAAATACATATGTCGCCGTGTTATATATTTCAAAAAATTTCTTTTCATTTCACATTTCGACTTTTAGTTTGTAATATGATTTGTCATTAATTGATTGGTACAAACAAACTAAATATATACATGGATTTGCGAAAAGACAATATAACAGCAAACTGTATCGACGTTCGACTGAATTGTTTGTTTCATACCAATGAAAACTAGTTTAACACTATAAAACTATAAAATTCCACCCAAACTATCCTGTGAAAGTCTTAAAATTTTTATTATAAAGTCGGATCCAAACAATATCTTAAACATATATTAATGACTAGTAATAAAGTGTTCAGTTAGAAATTTGCTTCAGTTTCATTTCACATTTTTTAATCTTAGGTTCTTTTTTCCTTTTCTTTTGAGTTTAATTAGGAAAACTACTAATCTAGTAACCAAAATTAAATTGAATTTTGTATGTATCAGTAAGAGATGGTTTTTGTTTTGGTTTATGCTCAGATTTACTAGAAACATGCCACTATTTTGTGAGAAAAATTACATTTTAGTTTGATTTGTATTCACCTTTTTTTTTCTTTCGAACATACAAAAGATAAATTCAGTTTAACCAAACAAAAAAATGTAAGTTAATGTTAAGTTTAGATTGTTGACAAAAAAAATGTTAAGTTTCGATATATATGCGCATGGGACTCAAACAAAATGATACTTATAAATTTGAATTTATGGTTAGTGGCTGCATATAAATTAATAATTGATCAATCAGTTTCACTTGGCGGGTTAGGAAAGTACCATCAAAATTAAAATGACAGAAAAGAAATAAATTAAAGAAAGCGAAACAAGCTTGAGAGATTAGTACAAAAACGTAACCTATCTCAATCTTTAAACGACAAAAGTCTTAATGAAACATATGTACACATGACATCGATGTGTCTTCTTCATTGATCGAAAGTGATTATAAGTTAAATGAATCCATTCAAACTGAAATGACTTCTGCGATTATAAACTCATCACCAAAGGCAAAACGTGATATATCCAAAGTGGGTTCACTGTGGCGCAGTCCACATCTTATCTGGTACGAACGCCTCGTGAAGCGTTGGATGGATGGGTTGATCGTACGGTGGGCGATGGTCTCAATTAATTGGGGGTTAACATCATCTTACATGTTTAAGCTGAGTCAAAAAGCTTTATCTCGTTAAGTGTTCATTGCCATTACTGGAAACTTGATAAGAGAGCTTTGATCTTAAGTCTTTCGTTTTTTCATAAATTATTAATTGAACCTAACAGCTGTTTTGATTGATACTCTTATTCACTTTTCGTGTTAGACAATTATGCCCTCTCTACCAAAAACTTCTCTCTTGATTGAAATTTTGAGATAAATTTATGATTATGTTTACCATTTATAACTTTCCAAGTACTAATCCTCTCATAGATTAGAGAAATGTGTATCCTAAAATATATTTTATGAACGACATTACTATTTGAAAACCAGTAAGTTATGTATCCTAGTTTTATTAAAAAACTTATGAAGTACAATATAATAATGATGTCGAAAAAAGTACAATATAATTAGTTTGTTTGAATTTTACTTTTTCATAATCAACTGACTTTAGATCAAACAATTTGATTACATGTATATTTGATAAGTCATAACATGACATAATCTTAAATGATTTCTCACCAAAAAGTCATAGAGAATTGGCTTTTATTTATATATTTGCTGGTCTTTAATTAATTATCTCATTGTATATTTTTTGGTATGAATTTAAATTTGAAGACTAATAGATTTCTAGGTTATGCGTAGAAAACTATGGTATGAATGGAAAAAAAAAATCATCTCAAAAATTCTATATACAATCAAAATAACTTAAGTAAAGTCTAAGGTATAACTTAGTTCCAATTAGAAAATTAACTACAATGGCTCAAATTAAACTGATATCTTATGTGTCCGGTCTTAACAACTACCACATGGGACATCATTCTTAAGGTGTTCAATACTCTAAAACGATACCATTAGATATATTAAAATAAGGTATCGAGAAATTATATAAAACTTGGGAGGTAAATAATATTAGATGGACCGACAAAGGGTTCAAACTGTGCCATTAATGGAGGCGACAACACTTGGATCCCCACTGATTCTTTCAGCTTCCATGTCTCATCTCTCTATCTCTCTCCATACTTTACAGTCGAAGTTGCACCCAACATGAGTTTTGAGCAAACCTACGCACCTTTACACCTTAAATATAATGCCCCTCAAGCCCAAACCCTTCAAACAAACATCTCTCATCTCTCTAACTTCTACTTTCTCTCTCTCTCTCTCTCTAGATTTCTCTTTCTCTCGCTCTCTAAACACAGAGTTATGGACTTTCAGCCAAATACATCTCTACGTCTAAGTCTACCAAGTTACAAGAACCACCAACTAAACCTAGAACTTGTTCTCGAGCCTTCTTCTATGTCTTCTTCTTCTTCTTCTTCCACTAACTCATCATCATGTTTGGAGCAGCCTAGGGTATTCTCTTGTAACTATTGTCAAAGAAAGTTTTATAGCTCTCAAGCTCTTGGTGGTCATCAAAACGCTCATAAGCTTGAGAGAACCTTAGCCAAGAAGAGTCGAGAACTCTTTAGATCCTCAACTACTGTTGATTCCGATCAGCCTTACCCATTCTCCGGCCGCTTTGAGCTTTATGGCCGTGGCTACGAAGGATTTGTTGAAAGCGGCGGCTCAAGGGACTTCTCCGCCCGCCGTGTGCCGGAGAGTGGTCTTGATCAGGATCAGGAGATGAGTCACCTTGACTTGTCGTTAAGGCTTTAAAAATAATCGAATATTTTGTTAGTCATATTTTATCATATCGATTGTCAAAGCTTTATATTATTCGACAAGTCTTATTACATATTAGTCATTTCCTCGCATCTTAAGAGTTCACGTTGTAACTATAGTCCTAAATTCAACTCAAATCTGATTTTGGAATATCATATCATACCTATATATTTCTGGAATTGATTAAAATAACTAAGTAAAAATGAAGGATATATATGTATTTCTCTATATAGATGGTTATTTTAATTATACATAGTATAAGAACATACTATATATTACTGCATTATAAAATGAATGAATGTCGCTTGTATATAATACATTATTGATCAATATATCAATGTGCCCCGACAAGGAGACATGTGCTGCGAAACTATATACTTAGTTAAGTAAATTTTTATATATAACATTTATCCACATAGACATCAATAAATACATATGAATACGTATATCCACTAGTATTTTTATATTCCTCTTGAGCTCATTACGTCATTTTTTCATTCTACTAGCTAGTATCCTAATTATGAATGTATAACCAATGAGGTTTCTTTATGATGTTTTGATCTTTCTCTCTGTATAAGTTTACTAGATGAGCAATTTCACCATTTTCGTATTTTATCATGTTTGATAGATCTTTTTTTTTTGTTCTGTTGAAATTTAACTGAAGAAATATAATAAGACCATTTCCATAGTTAAATTAATTATGCAAGGAAGGAAAAATTTATACAAAATTAAAAAGAAGAAGTAAAAATATCTTGTCTCAAAAGAAAAATGGTTTCCTAAATTCCATTAAAATTTTCGATATTTACACTAATTTTGAAGAGCCTTTTGTTCACGTCTAGCTTATTCTGTAGTATGTGATAACTTTGTTACAACCATGTGTGTTCATTGAAATTTCTGGGGATCAATTAATTTAGAAAATCTCTCACCACAACACAAATTTGTACCGTTCCAAAAGTAAAAATTAATTAGGAGAGATAGGACTTATTCACGAAAAAAGGTTGTTGACGTATCGTTTAATTGTTGGATTGTAAAAGTTTTCAGCCTCCTAATGAGGAAATCTAATTTTGTAAAAGTTATTATTACTTGTACTTGGTACTTTTACTATTGATCATGCATTTGCTTCTTATTTTTAAGCATATGACAGCCGGCAACATGACGATCGACTATGCATATAGTTTATTGAAAAATTATGAAAATTAAGGAAGGTAATAAAAAATACTTCAAAAGACCATTACATAAGATGATAATAATTTGCCTTAGTATACCGTATATATGGTTATCTAATTTGGTTAACCGGTAATGGAAGTGAATACAAGTATTTTTCATAATTAAATTGATATAAAGAAAATAAAAAAAATAGACAAGAGTGGCGTGTATGAGATGCGGGGAGAATGAACAAACTTGAAAATATGACATTAAAGATGCAATAATTCAGTGTATGAATCGAGCAAGTCACGACGATCACTTCCTCGAGATAATGTCTCCCTTATTCATAACCCTAAAAGGTAAATCATAATTTGAACACAAAGAAAATTAAAAGTTCTCATAGAAAACGAAAAAGCTAGAGTGCTATATTATTATATACACAAGTACTATTTTTTCTTTTTAAAAAAAAATAATGTTTAGACCGATTTGTAATAAGTAAACCAAAATTAACATATCAGTAGTGATCATCGCTTTGACGTCGAAATAATGGGGTACATGGAATCTTGATAACTTTATTTGTGGACATTATATGAGATTGAAGGGATGTGTAAGAGAGATGAGTGTTATCGTCAAAACACAAATGCAAACTTCTAAACTTTATTAGTTATCAATCTTGTCCATCATTCATTTTTAACAAGAGAGACCAACAAAGTTTTCCAACGGAACTCCTTTGTTGTTTAAATACGGACTTGAGAGTTTTAGACGTAATGATCTTAACTGGTGGGTCCAAACGGTGTCGTATCAATCAAAGTCTTTTTTATTTTATTATTTTTAAGTAGAGATATGCAAATGCTAATGCCATCATGATTTTCAAATTTTTGTTTTGTAAAAAAGCAATAGAGCTTAGAAACATGAGTTACAGAGACTAATCCTACGACAATGATTATGTTCTGTTTTATGATCAATCATATGTCAGAAACCTCTAAATTTTATGTATGTGAGTTTAAAAAATGATTATGAAGTTTGAACTATCTTTATTTATTTATTTATTTTTGATATCGGGAAGTTAAATCATCAGTCACATGAATTGAAAAGTTAACTTTTTTTTTGTCAACATCTTTGAATTAATATTAAATTATCATTTAGTACGTTTTTTTGCTTCCGTTTTTATTTGGTAGATTTTCACAGGTTTGACTTTACCCCTACGTTCTAGAGAGAAGAAAAAATAGTACAGTATGTATTATGTATTTCCAGTTGTCTATATTTTCAATATTTGGAGATCAATTTTAAAATTCAATGATATATATTCTCTAATATATGTGTGGTTTAGTTTTCATCATGGTGTTAGGAAATACTATCGTTTCAATATTTTTGTAGGATGTTCAAATATTTGAAATAAATTATTTAATTTTTTTTCGACAAGAAACTAAAACTTAAAAGAGGCACAAAGTAGTATTTTCGAACGTAAAGAATTTATGAATAAAACAATCAATTTTGTTTACAAGGTTATATAACTCAAAATCTGTATGATCTGGCTCCAGATATTAGTGGGCTTTTAAAAGCCCATTATATTACAGAAACAAAAAGCTCACGTTAATTTTGTTAGCGGTCTTTTTCTTTCAACTAATCGTTGAGAAAACACTTCTTAAATTCAAAATGTCGATATAGATAATGATGTAATGCAAGACTCTTCTCTCCCAGCCACAGTTATCGAGAAACCCTCTTCGACCAAAGCTTCCGACGCCGGTGGAGGTGCTTATCGCCGGCGTCGGGATCTGACTCCTCCGATCAACATGTTCTGGTTTCTACTTACCTCGTCAATCATTTTAGTCCTTTTTGTATCTTTGCAAGCTTTGCTTCAACCCTCGCCAATCCTCTCTCCCCCACTGCTCTTTAACGACAACCAAGAAACCAACGACAGAGGTCGAAGTTGGGGTTCGGCGTTTGCCCTCCCAGTTTACCTTTTGCTCGTTCAACCTTCCACTCCCAGGTCCAGAACTAATCCAATTACCCTAGAAGAAATCTCACACCGGACTTCGTTGATGGCAGGAGGTATATCTCTTGGACCGTCAGATGTGCCATGTCCGGTGGAGACGTCGACGGCGCACGGCGAGTTTTTCTTATGGGCGACTCTTTCCAATTTTAGAAAGATTTCTCACC